ATGGAAATGACGTATAGTTCCCCCGATATACGGTATATAAGTGGCAACATTTTTTTTTCCATAATTTGGTACAGTTTACATGCTCAAAAGGAATAGAAGTAAGTAAAACAATTGATCTATTCTTAATCCTTACTCTTGAAACCGTTTTTAATTTATAACATCATATGAATACACAAATAATCCCAATTCAAAGAGATAACAAGCCCCCCCCCCTCCCCCAAGGCTATGAGGAATCTAATAATGGCAAATCTTTTTCCAGGCTTCAGGAGCTTGAGGATCAGTATCGTAAAGAAAGAGAAGAAGCCAGTATCTTGCTTGAGCAACAGAGGCTGGTCAGTATAAGTTTGATAAAGATGTCAGTAGAACATACCGTTCTACCTTTTTTATCACTATGTCCACATTTTTTTTTCTTTCTAGGATTACGAGAGTAAACTCGAGGCTCTCCAGAAGCAGGTGGACTCACGCTACCTGGAGTCACCCGAAGAAGAAGAGGAACCGGAGGAAGAAGGTGAAGTTAGCAGTTAAGAAAGAAGAAATAATTCAAAGCTTCTATCAAATTATAATTTATGGTTTACCTCTCCAGTGTCATGGACCGCGCGGGAGACGGAGCTGGCTCTGTGGGCCTTCCGGAAATGGCGCTTCTACCAATTCACCTCGCTGCGGGATCTGCTTTGGGGCAACGCCATCTTCCTCAAGGAGGCCAACGCGATAAGTGTGGAGCTGAAGAAGAAGGTGGGGGGGAACACAAAATAATCCGGACTTTACTGACTGATTGGAATGCGGGGGACAAAATCTCAATTGATCGGAAGCAAGGAAAAATGCTCGTATATTATTGCATTACACATGACAATCACGTCTGTGGCTCGGCCAAACTCAAGACTGAATCCTCACCTGAAATGATGCCGTTTTCCCCCTTTTTTATGAATTAAAACAAATATGTTAACATTTTTAGGTCCAGTTTCAATTCGTCCTTCTGACGGACACGCTGTACTCCCCACTGCCTCCCGACCTGCTGCCTGCCAGCGAGACCAAGGAGAGGGAGAGACGACCGTTCCCGCGGACCATCGTGGCTGTTGAAGTGCAGGACCAAAAGAACGGCGCTACGCATTACTGGACTCTGGAGAAGCTCAGGTATTTTTGGATTTGGCCTTGACGGGGGTCCTACTCTGTACAACGGAATTCCATTGCTACGGTGGCGATGCCTGAATATGTATGGAAATTAGAACACCTTAGTAAAGTCATAATTACACTAAATATTGTATTGTGTGCACTGTTTAATTACATGTTAAAAACATCCATGACAAATCCAGGACGTTTTTCACAACTCTCTCTTTTTGCCCCCTGTAGGCAGAGACTGGACCTGATGAGAGAAATGTACGATCGGGCTGCAGAGCTTCCGAGCAGCGCCGTGGAGGACTGTGACCACGCCCTCACCGGCGGAGACCCCTTCTATGACCGCTTCCCATGGTTCCGCCTGGTCGGCAGGTCAGTGGCTGTTCGGCAGAACATACAATGCAAGAACAATTTTTTTAAAGCATGATTTTAAAAACACTTTGAAAGAACTTAATCATAGATATAGGTGGTGGTGGGGATGGGTGGGGGAGGGGGGGTTAACCCAGATTTAAAAGCATTTACATTTGGGCCTCACTTCATTTCTGTTGCAAGCTTATTCCATTTGCCTGCAGCGTAACAGCTAAATGCTGCCTCACCGGGTTGTTTTAACTCTGGGCTCTACTAATTGACCCGAGTCTACACACCTGAGAGGTTTACGGGTTTTATATTAACATTTAGCATTATAGCGTTAACATTTCTTTAAAAGGGAAGTGGGAAGAAACGCCAGTTGAATCCCGTTTCCATGCTTCTCCTCAGGGCATTTGTGTACCTGAGCAACCTGCTTTATCCTGTTCCATTGGTCCATCGTGTGGCCATCGTCAGCGAGAAGGGCGAAGTGAAGGGCTTCCTCAGAGTGGCTGTGCAGGCCATTTCAGGTTAGAATTTAGGAGTTTATTGAAAAAGTGCATCCAGTACATAACCTTAACCTTGAGCATTGTCCTGTCTCTGTAGCGGATGAAGAAGCACCGGATTATGGCTCCGGTGTGAGGCAGTCAGGGATGGCCAAGATCTCCTTTGAAGATAAACAGTTTGAAAAGGTGATCTCCTTTGGAGTTTTTGTTTTTTTTTCGTTTTCTTTTAGTTAGCACATCAGAGAAAAAAAAATATTTTGTGAAAATTTAATTCAAGTCCAAATAATTTGGAACATTTCTCTGCTCTCTGTGATTTAGCTGAATATTCATATGACTATATAGCTGCGCTCAGCTCTGCCCTTTATGAATCGTTTTTTTTTTAAATTCATGTTCTTCTTTCTGTTTGGTTGTTTCACTCCTCCAGTTCCAGACAGAGTCGTGTTCACCAGTCGGTCTTTCCCATTCCAACACCTCCCAGGAAGAGCTCCGCATTGTGGAAGGAGAAGGTCAAAATGCAGAAGCGGGAATCTCTGCAGATGAAGTCAACAACAACACATGTGAAGGTGAGAGGAAGCGCAAAGCTTCACGTGGTGTTGGAGTCTTAAAACGCCTTTCAGAACATCTGTTTTTTTTTTTTTCCTATTGTCCAACGTAGCTGCCCCGGAAACTCCACCCAGCCCTGTGAAGAGCTCGGGACTGGGTCTGGACCTTCCTTTGGAGCTCTCACCAACACAAGTTATTATTAGTATTCACATATTTTTTTTTTCCTATTGTCCAACATAGCTGCCCCGGAAACTCCACCCAGCCCCGTGAAGAGCTTGGGACTGGGTCTGGACCTTCCTTTGGAGCTCTCACCAGAGAAGGCTTTGTCCCACCTGAAGATAGGCAGCACCTTCACCTTCAGAGTCACCGTCTTGCAGGCCTCCAGCATCTCGGCCGAGTACGCCGACATCTTCTGTCAGTTCAAGTGAGTGCACAAAACTACATTCAAGCTTGTCGAAGTTCCTTCTCATTCACGTGAATGTTCTGTGACACAAAATCTTATTTTAAAATTCAATTTGCATGTATGTGAACCCTTTGGAAATACACAAATTTTTTGAATCAATTGGTCAGAAAATGTGATCTGATCCTGATCTAAGAGTCAAGAGTCCAATCAATGCGAGGAGATTGGAAGTGTTGGTTAAAGCTGCCCTTTCCTTTAAAAATGCACACACCAGTTTTGAGGTTTCTATTCTCAAGAATTGGATGATGTGACCCACACCTTGCACAAAGACAAACGAATCAGATTTGGAAACTTGCATGACTCACAAAAATCGGATAGATGAAACCAAAGTTGCGTTGCCTGGAAGGACGAATGAGCCCTTACTTTGGTTTCCCAGCTTCATCCACCGCCACGATGAAGCCTTTTCCACCGAGCCGCTGAAGAACACTGGCCGGGGGCCGCCACTTGGCTTTTACCATGTGCAAAATGTAAGAACTCAACAAGCTCATTCTCAGTGACAAAAAAAACAAACAAACAAACTGATGTTTCCATGGACAGTAAGACCAGTGGTGATTTTCTTCCCTTAGATCTCAGTGGAGGTGACTAAATCATTCGTGGAATACATCAAGACCCAGCCCATCGTCTTTGAGGTGTTCGGTCACTATCAGAAGCAACCTTTCCCACCCCTTTGCAAGGATCTAATCAGGTCCGGATTTAGTGGGTCAGCATTTGGTATATTGGAAGTGCATTTCCTCATTGGTGATTTTCTTACAGTCCATTGAGACCTTCCAGAAGGCAGTTCCCCAGAGTGATGCCTTTGTCCAAACCGGGTGAGTTGCACATAATTCTCTAACACACGGGTGTCAAAGTCAAGGCCAGGGGGGCCAGATCTGGAGCGCCACATCATTTTATGTGGCCCGCGAAAGCAATTCAAGCATGTCAATTTCCATGATGCTCGCTAAAGTCTGAACCAAAATTTCAAATTGTCATATATCAGGGGTGTCAAACTCATGTTTTAGTTACCGTTTCCCTTGGAGGGTCGTGATGACTGAAACTATATAGAGAATAATGTTTTATTCAACTATTGTTTCAGTAACTGTTATGAGGGGTTTGGTAACAAGAAAATGTTTACAATATGTCACTGGTTTAGTAGATATGAAAATTTGAAATTTGGGTTCGCATTTTAGCAAGTATCATGGAAGTTGTAATTTTTGATTTGCTTTCGCAGGCCAATTAAAATGATGTGGCGGACCACATCTGGTCCCCGGGCCTGGAGTTTGACACGTGTCATATCTCATGTAATAATTGCAATGTTTGAGCAATCCATTACTCTTGACTTCTGATGTCAAAACTAGTTATCCATCTATTTGTTGTTCGCTGTGTATGTAATATGTGGAGGTGTTTAAACATTTATATGGTTTTACAAAATTCAGTCATAACGACCCTCCTAGAGAAACCGTAATTACAATGTGGCCCGCGACAAAAATGAGTTTGACACCACTGCTCTCACATCTTTGTAGGCCATATTAATCTTTGTGGCAGTAAGTCACAAATGTGAGCACAGAGCAATCAATCTTCATCTAGACGAGCAATTCACTTGAACTAATTTCCCGAGGTTTCCTCTCAACCCTGAAGTGCACGAGAGGTCGATAATTTCGATGTATGTGCAAGTTGTGTCAAGTGTTAATAATTCATCAGATCAGTGGGGGGGATGATGTAGTTACCACATACGTATGGTTAAATATATCCTGGTATTGGAGGTTTTTGACCCGAACCGGCAGATAATCAATGTGCAGTGTATGAAATGCGTAAAAAGCACGGGCGCTATCAGCGGTGTGAAACCAGAGAAAACTTGTCTTTGCGTCATAAAAGACTCAAGAAGGTTCGTATTATCATATCTGTTGACTAATCAGTCACACGTGGATCTCCGTTCTGTTAACTAATGATTCACAACCACTGTGCATGTATCGGGTGGGCCATGGGAAATTTTCCAGTATTACGTAAGTGGTTCAAAAAGGATTTTTTTTTTTTTTTGTTCTCAAATAATGTGTCTTTGGTCATTTGTCTATGCCAGCGGCATATAGCGACAGGGAGAAGAACAATTAAATACTGTTGACACAGAGATGGCATAAATACTCACACTCTGTACCAAAGTAGAAATAAAGATATTGTACTGTCAAACAGTGATGGTAAAAGTACTGATTTCATTCTTTGAGTAAATGTCACAAGTTCCATTTATTTACAGATCTCAGTGTTAACGTCTGGCGATTAGCATTCTTCTCGGCTAACCATGCTAACTTGGCGTTTGTGAGAGACACTAAAATGTGTGTTGCTGTTTCATTAAACCTCTGCTCTGTTGCATTTTAGGTTATTTGTTTTGATGAACCAATGCTACAGTCGTAAAAAATTCACTGCCTTGTCTCAGCAATTATTTATTTATTTATTTATTTACACTTGGACAAAAGCTGTTGGTTTTAAGGCTGGCACAAAATACAACATGAATCTATTCTTGGAGCCATTAACATCAAACAATTGTTTTAAATAATAAGGCCATGGGTGGAGAATACATTGTTGCGTCATCGTAATTCATGCTCCCACAGTCACTTTCTTCTACGTCGCTGCATTTACTGTATTTTCCGCCTTGTAAGACTCTTAAGATACCCGATAATTCAACTTCAGTACAGTGTACCGACTTGTAGGTCGATAATGTCTCCATGTTGCATGTCTTCTCTATTGCAGTGCCGGCCACCAAGCTCAGCACACTTACGCGCTCCCCCGCCGGACCTTGTCACTCCAAACATGACCTCATGGTCTTCTTTGAGATCTGTGAGCTGGAAGCCAGTGGAGAGTAAGTTTCAGCTCCATCTTATTCAGTCATGTGATACAAGTTATTATTAGTCTTCACATATTTTTATTTTCCTATTGGCGATGTATGATAATTGCGTCCGTTGCTATTGGATACCAGAATTTCTTTGGAGATCGTTGAAATCAAGTCTCCCGAAACTCAGGGGTGGGCGCGCTGTGGACGGTTGGGCCAGGTCATTCGCGGATGACGTAAAATGTGAAAAAATAGATTTTATTCATTTAATTATGATAGATTTTTATTTTGTCATTTTATTATTGGTAATTAATGTTTTGTGCAATGAATCAACCAATCGTTTAATAAAAGAAATGATAAATGTGAATGTAAATTATTTTTATAATAAAATAATTGTAGATTTAAAGAGAACCCACACTGCCTGTTCTGAAGTCAAGACAATGTCTCACTACACATCATTGTGACTCTAAATTTATTTGCAAAATTGTTCATTCCACTAATATTTTTTCTAATTGACAACAAATCAAGTAACAATAACTCAATTGACCGATTATTTAATGAATGAGAAAATAGTGAAAAATACAGTTCATTTATACATTTTAGTTGACTAATTTTCGAGGGGAAAAAAATGGCTAAATTAATGCAAAAAAAGACTCGAACTGTTGATAATGTAAACACTCGGTGGGCCAGATTAAAAAATGTAGAAGGCTACATGTACTTGTACTTTTTACATACCCTGTGTGAACTTTAACGCGAACTTTTACATGCGTTGGTTGTCTTCCTGTCCTCAGTTACATCCCAGCTGTTGTGGATCACAGAGGCGGAATGCCCTGCCATGGCACGTACCTCCTACATCAGGTTCGAACACACCAATATTATGATGACAGAAAGGGAAACGTGGATTTAATTATTTTTAATTTCAGTCGTAAAAGAAAACTATTGAAAAGCTTTATAAGCCCCCCCCCTCAATTTTAACTTCAGTGACTCAACAAGGACGTTGCTTATATCCAGATGAGAGCCAGTGTTCTTGTTTCAAGCTGTCAATTTGTCACGATAAATGTTCATTCAAAGTACTTTCACGACAGCGCCATCGCCATTCTCATTAGCCTAATGGAAAGCCGCTATCTTAATGAGGACATCAAATGGGGAATGCTATTGACAAGCTAAGGATTAGCTTGATTAAAGATTAGCATCGCGGTAGCAGCCATTTTAAACGGTTAAATAAATGTGACTCAACAGAAGCAGCATAGACAAGTAAAAGATAAGTCGGTAGTGGCAGGCATATATTCTCCCTGCTTTGTGGAAAATCATAAATTCAATCTTTAATTAATTTCGCTAATACTTCTTGACACGCTCAATCAACCCCACCTGTGTCACACTACTGCCACCATCAGCCTGCCACACTCGTGTTTGTCTATGTAATATGTAAAAAGAAAAAAATTCCCTTGAGGAACATAGTGGTGAAAAATTCTGTAATTCTGCATTAAAACTAAGAATTTGGCTATTGGAAAGAGTGTGTTTCAGCACCATCAAGCTGTTGCAACTTCCTGACCTTGCAGGGTATTCAGAGGAGAATCACAGTCGCCATCGCTCATGAAAACGGGAATGACATTGAATGGAAAGAAGTGAAGGAGCTGGTGATTGGTGAGTTTACAGAAAGAAAAAGTCATCGCAAGGATTTTAAGTGATTTTCTTTTCTCCCCCCAACAGCATCAATTGAAACATATTTGGTATTTATTCAAAACCAGGGCGCATCAGAAACACTCCGGAGGCTGACGAGACCATCATAGACCCCAACATCCTCTCCCTGAACATCCTGTCTTCTGGATATTTCTGGCCAAAACATGATGACAAGTATGCATTCACTTACAAGTGAAACCTATTTTGCATACCATAATACATTAATATGTTCTGTACACCAGTTTTCTGAAGCTGAGCCATGATTGGTTGTTACCTAAACTGTGAGCAACTGTGATGTCATTGACAGAAAATTGCAAAATGGCCGCCCCCTGAGATGGACAAAAACAGGAAGATTTTACAACTTTACTCATATTCCACAAAAGCAATTTTAATCAGAATGCCATGTTTAGACTAGTGGGCCTACATACAACATAATATTGCAAAATCTGGAGTTTTTGTTATGTTACAGCCTTTTTCCAAAATTGAATTAACTGAAGTTTTCCCTAAAAAATTCTTCATACAACAACCATACTAACAACATGAAAAAACTTGGTTCTATATTTGCAGTACCTTTCTAGCTACATCATAATGTAGCACAATTTGTAAAAAGAGATGCCTTACGAATAGTTCTAGATGCACTCAATGCACAGGTGAGTCCTCGGTTTACAGCGGTCCCACCATGCAACATTTCGAGGTTACGATCAGCGTGCAATGGGCTACTTTTCGCAGTAGTGCGTGATTGCGCCATATCAAAGGATAAGACAGCATGGCAATATCTGGCTCTACTTTTTTTAACTTATAATCAATGCATCTATGATTTATTTTCACGGATCTAATTTCCCGCTTTTAACGTTTCATTACCTGTTTTTTCTTCCCGACTGGCAGCGTCTCCTTGGGAGTTGATCATAGGTATTTCGTGATCAGTCTGACTGATTGCTTACCGTTTCTTCCACGTGGCGAACTCATTCCCTCCTTCAAAAACATTTACGGCGAATCCTAACAGTGATTTTTCGTATGTCAGAACCTTCTACCGGTTCGAGGCAGCATGGGACAGCTCCATGCACAACTCCCTGCTCCTGAATAGAGTTACGCCATACGGAGAGAAGATCTACATTACCCTTTCAGCCTATTTGGAGGTAGAGTTGTATCACCCACCACCTTAATGAGGGCAGATGCTCTAGGACATGTGTTTGAATTGTGGTGTGTGTCTCTAAACCAGATGGAGAACTGCACTCAGCCTACCGTTATCACCAAAGATTTCTGCATGGTGTTCTACTCCCGCGACACCAAACTTCCCGCGTCTCGTTCCATCCGAAACCTCTTCAGTACAGGCTGCCTCAGGCCTTCAGAGAGGTTGAGAATTTTCACAGTTGTCTGATTTACATCTTTTTAATTGGTTTTAATTGCGTGCACTGTGTAATCACTCCCCTCTCAGTAACCGTGTCACCGGAGTCTACGAGGTGACGCTCTGCTACGTGGCTGACAACGGGAGTCCCGGTAAGAGCTAGTGCGACTCAGCCGCAAATCACAAGTGATTGTGCTTTTTAATTTTATTTGAAAGCATTCTGAGTTTTTTTTTTTGTGTTTGTTTTCTTCAGGAATGCAGCGGCGTCGCAGGCGAGTGCTGGACACCTCGGTGGCATACGTCCGAGGGGAGGAGAACCTGGCTGGGTGGAGGCCTCGCAGTGACAGCCTCATTTTGGACCACCAGTGGGAGCTGGAGAAGCTCAGCTTGCTTCAAGAGGTGAGTTAAGCGGGTTGCACATATACCAACAATTGGGGAAAGAAGTCAGCTACTTGTTTGATGTCGCTGAAAAATAATCCCGAATGCTTTTCCTTCCTGTTCATTCTTCTTCAGATAAAATGATGTGCCCTATTCATTTTCAGATCATTTTAAAGTTATTAGCCAGTGGTAGTGTCATCAATATGCCATTCATTTGCATGATTTTCTTTTGACTTAATGTAACTACTGAAGTCAAAGTTTGATTAAGTTTGCCACTTGCTATATATTCAAATTTTACCACAACACAAATACATAAAAAAACATAGTGTGAGTTCATAAATAAGTAAATTTGATCAAAATCGAGAGTTTATAGGTAAAATAACAGAGGGTCGAGAATCCAACCTTGTGGAATGCCCAATATTGTCGATTCACTTCATCGTTGTGGATCCTCTGATTAATACAAGTCCATTTGGTGTCATTTTTAAATGACTGCTTAAATGTAGGTTGATCACAAATCAAGTAGTATGGAACCCTACAATCTTCACGTATTCCGCCAAAATTATGTGTGAATGGTTGTTTTAACTCTGGGCTCTACTAATTGACCCGAGTCTACACACCTGAGAGGTTTACGGGGTTTATAGTAACATTTAGCATTATAGCATTAACATTTCTTTAAAGGGGAAGTGGAAAGAAACGCCAGTCGAATCCCGTTTCCATGCTTCTCCTCAGGGCATTTGTGTACCTGAGCAACCTGCTTTATCCTGTTCCATTGGTCCATCGTGTGGCCATCGTCAGCGAGAAGGGCGAAGTGAAGGGCTTCCTCAGAGTGGCTGTGCAGGCCATTTCAGGTTAGAATTTAGGAGTTTATTGAAAAAGTGCATCCAGTACATAACCTTAACCTTGAGCATTGTCCTGTCTCTGTAGCGGATGAAGAAGCGCCGGATTATGGCTCCGGTGTGAGGCAGTCAGGCATGGCCAAGATCTCCTTTGAAGATAAACAGTTTGAAAAGGTGATCTCCTTTGGAGTTTTTGTTTTTTTTTCGTTTTCTTTTAGTTAGCACATCAGAGAAAAAAAATAATATTTTGTGAAAATTTAATTCAAGTCCAAATAATTTGGAACATTTCTCTGCTCTCTGTGATTTAGCTGAATATTCATATGACTATATAGCTGCGCTCAGCTCTGCCCTTTATGAATCGTTTTTTTTTTAAATTCATGTTCTTCTTTCTGTTTGGTTGTTTCACTCCTCCAGTTCCAGACAGAGTCGTGTTCACCAGTCGGTCTTTCCCATTCCAACACCTCCCAGGAAGAGCTCCGCATTGTGGAAGGAGAAGGTCAAAATGCAGAAGCGGGAATCTCTGCAGATGAAGTCAACAACAACACATGTGAAGGTGAGAGGAAGCGCAAAGCTTCACGTGGTGTTGGAGTCTTAAAACGCCTTTCAGAACATCTGTTTTTTTTTTTTTCCTATTGTCCAACGTAGCTGCCCCGGAAACTCCACCCAGCCCTGTGAAGAGCTCGGGACTGGGTCTGGACCTTCCTTTGGAGCTCTCACCAGAGAAGGCTTTGTCCCACCTGAAGATCGGCAGCACCTTCACCTTCAGAGTCACCGTCTTGCAGGCCTCCAGCATCTCGGCCGAGTACGCCGACATCTTCTGTCAGTTCAAGTGAGTGCACAAAACTACATTCAAGCTTGTCGAAGTTCCTTCTCATTCACGTGAATGTTCTGTGACACAAAATCTTATTTTAAAATTCAATTTGCATGTATGTGAACCCTTTGGAAATACACAAATTTTTTGAATCAATTGGTCAGAAAATGTGATCTGATCCTGATCTAAGAGTCAAGAGTCCAATCAATGCGAGGAGATTGGAAGTGTTGGTTAAAGCTGCCCTTTCCTTTAAAAATGCACACACCAGTTTTGAGGTTTCTATTCTCAAGAATTGGATGATGTGACCCACACCTTGCACAAAGACAAACGAATCAGATTTGGAAACTTGCATGACTCACAAAAATCGGATAGATGAAACCAAAGTTGCGTTGCCTGGAAGGACGAATGAGCCCTTACTTTGGTTTCCCAGCTTCATCCACCGCCACGATGAAGCCTTTTCCACCGAGCCGCTGAAGAACACTGGCCGGGGGCCGCCACTGGGCTTTTGGGGGCCGCCACTTGGCTTTTACCATGTGCAAAATGTAAGAACTCAACAAGCTCATTCTCAGTGACAAAAAAAACAAACAAACAAACTGATGTTTCCATGGACAGTAAGACCAGTGGTGATTTTCTTCCCTTAGATCTCAGTGGAGGTGACTAAATCATTCGTGGAATACATCAAGACCCAGCCCATCGTCTTTGAGGTGTTCGGTCACTATCAGAAGCAACCTTTCCCACCCCTTTGCAAGGATCTAATCAGGTCCGGATTTAGTGGGTCAGCATTTGGTATATTGAAAGTGCATTTCCTCATTGGTGATTTTCTTACAGTCCATTGAGACCTTCCAGAAGGCAGTTCCCCAGAGTGATGCCTTTGTCCAAACCGGGTGAGTTGCACATAATTCTCTAACACACGGGTGTCAAAGTCAAGGCCAGGGGGGCCAGATCTGGAGCGCCACATCATTTTATGTGGCCCGCGAAAGCAATTCAAGCATGTCAATTTCCATGATGCTCGCTAAAGTCTGAACCAAAATTTCAAATTGTCATATATCAGGGGTGTCAAACTCATGTTTTAGTTACCGTTTCCCTTGGAGGGTCGTGATGACTGAAACTATATAGAGAATAATGTTTTATTCAACTATTGTTTCAGTAACTGTTATGAGGGGTTTGGTAACAAGAAAATGTTTACAATATGTCACTGGTTTAGTAGATATGAAAATTTGAAATTTGGGTTCGCATTTTAGCAAGTATCATGGAAGTTGTAATTTTTGATTTGCTTTCGCAGGCCAATTAAAATGATGTGGCGGACCACATCTGGTCCCCGGGCCTGGAGTTTGACACGTGTCATATCTCATGTAATAATTGCAATGTTTGAGCAATCCATTACTCTTGACTTCTGATGTCAAAACTAGTTATCCATCTATTTGTTGTTCGCTGTGTATGTAATATGTGGAGGTGTTTAAACATTTATATGGTTTTACAAAATTCAGTCATAACGACCCTCCTAGAGAAACCGTAATTACAATGTGGCCCGCGACAAAAATGAGTTTGACACCACTGCTCTCACATCTTTGTAGGCCATATTAATCTTTGTGGCAGTAAGTCACAAATGTGAGCACAGAGCAATCAATCTTCATCTAGACGAGCAATTCACTTGAACTAATTTCCCGAGGTTTCCTCTCAACCCTGAAGTGCACGAGAGGTCGATAATTTCGATGTATGTGCAAGTTGTGTCAAGTGTTAATAATTCATCAGATCAGTGGGGGGGATGATGTAGTTACCACATACGTATGGTTAAATATATCCTGGTATTGGAGGTTTTTGACCCGAACCGGCAGATAATCAATGTGCAGTGTATGAAATGCGTAAAAAGCACGGGCGCTATCAGCGGTGTGAAACCAGAGAAAACTTGTCTTTGCGTCATAAAAGACTCAAGAAGGTTCGTATTATCATATCTGTTGACTAATCAGTCACACGTGGATCTCCGTTCTGTTAACTAATGATTCACAACCACTGTGCATGTATCGGGTGGGCCATGGGAAATTTTCCAGTATTACGTAAGTGGTTCAAAAAGGATTTTTTTTTTTTTTTTGTTCTCAAATAATGTGTCTTTGGTCATTTGTCTATGCACGCGGCATATAGAGACGGGGAGAAGAACAATTAAATACTGTTGACACAGAGATGGCATAAATACTCACACTCTGTACCAAAGTAGAAATAAAGATATTGTACTGTCAAACAGTGATGGTAAAAGTACTGATTTCATTCTTTGAGTAAATGTCACAAGTTCCATTTATTTACAGATCTCAGTGTTAACGTCTGGCGATTAGCATTCTTCTCGGCTAACCATGCTAACTTGGCGTTTGTGAGAGACACTAAAATGTGTGTTGCTGTTTCATTAAACCTCTGCTCTGTTGCATTTTAGGTTATTTGTTTTGATGAACCAATGCTACAGTCGTAAAAAATTCACTGCCTTGTCTCAGCAATTATTTATTTATTTATTTATTTACACTTGGACAAAAGCTGTTGGTTTTAAGGCTGGCACAAAATACAACATGAATCTATTCTTGGAGCCATTAACATCAAACAATTGTTTTAAATAATAAGGCCATGGGTGGAGAATACATTGTTGCGTCATCGTAATTCATGCTCCCACAGTCACTTTCTTCTACGTCGCTGCATTTACTGTATTTTCCGCCTTGTAAGACTCTTAAGATACCCGATAATTCAACTTCAGTACAGTGTACCGACTTGTAGGTCGATAATGTCTCCATGTTGCATGTCTTCTCTATTGCAGTGCCGGCCACCAAGCTCAGCACACTTACGCGCTCCCCCGCCGGACCTTGTCACTCCAAACATGACCTCATGGTCTTCTTTGAGATCTGTGAGCTGGAAGCCAGTGGAGAGTAAGTTTCAGCTCCATCTTATTCAGTCATGTGATACAAGTTATTATTAGTCTTCACATATTTTTATTTTCCTATTGGCGATGTATGATAATTGCGTCCGTTGCTATTGGATACCAGAATTTCTTTGGAGATCGTTGAAATCAAGTCTCCCGAAACTCAGGGGTGGGCGCGCTGTGGACGGTTGGGCCAGGTCATTCGCGGATGACGTAAAATGTGAAAAAATAGATTTTATTCATTTAATTATGATAGATTTTTATTTTGTCATTTTATTATTGGTAATTAATGTTTTGTGCAATGAATCAACCAATCGTTTAATAAAAGAAATGATAAATGTGAATGTAAATTATTTTTATCATAAAATAATTGTAGATTTAAAGAGAACCCACACTGCCTGTTCTGAAGTCAAGACAATGTCTCACTACACATCATTGTGACTCTAAATTTATTTGCAAAATTGTTCATTCCACTAATATTTTTTCTAATTGACAACAAATCAAGTAACAATAACTCAATTGACCGATTATTTAATGAATGAGAAAATAGTGAAAAATACAGTTCATTTATACATTTTAGTTGACTAATTTTCGAAGGAACGAAAATGGCTAAATTAATGCAAAAAAAGACTCGACCTGTTCATAATGTAAACACTCAGTGGGCCAGATTAAAAAAATGTAGAAGGCCGCATGTACTTGTACTTTTTGCATACCCTGTGTGAACTTTAACATGAACTTTTACATGTGTTGGTTGTCTTCCTGTCCTCAGTTACATCCCAGCTGTTGTGGATCACAGAGGCGGGATGCCCTGTGTACTTTTTACATACCCTGTGTGAACTTTAACGCGAACTTTTACATGCGTTGGTTGTCTTCCTGTCCTCAGTTACATCCCAGCTGTTGTGGATCACAGAGGCGGAATGCCCTGCCATGGCACGTACCTCCTACATCAGGTTCGAACACACCAATATTATGATGACAGAAAGGGAAACGTGGATTTAATTATTTTTAATTTCAATCGTGAAAGAAAACTATTGAAAAGCTTTATAAGCCCCCCCCCTCAATTTTAACTTCAGTGACTCAACAAGGACGTTGCTTATATCCAGATGAGAGCCAGTGTTCTTGTTTCAAGCTGTCAATTTGTCACGATAAATGTTCATTCAAAGTACTTTCACGACAGCGCCATCGCCATTCTCATTAGCCTAATGGAAAGCCGCTATCTTAATGAGGACATCAAATGGGGAATGCTATTGACAAGCTAAGGATTAGCTTGATTAAAGATTAGCATCGCGGTAGCAGCCATTTTAAACGGTTAAATAAATGTGACTCAACAGAAGCAGCATAGACAAGTAAAAGATAAGTCGGTAGTGGCAGGCATATATTCTCCCTGCTTTGTGGAAAATCATAAATTCAATCTTTAATTAATTTCGCTAATACTTCTTGACACGCTCAATCAACCCCACCTGTGTCACACTACTGCCACCATCAGCCTGCCACACTCGTGTTTGTCTATGTAATATGTAAAAAGAAAAAAATTCCCTTGAGGAACATAGTGGTGAAAAATTCTGTAATTCTGCATTAAAACTAAGAATTTGGCTATTGGAAAGAGTGTGTTTCAGCACCATCAAGCTGTTGCAACTTCCTGACCTTGCAGGGTATTCAGAGGAGAATCACAGTCGCCATCGCTCATGAAAACGGGAATGACATTGAATGGAAAGAAGTGAAGGAGCTGGTGATTGGTGAGTTTACAGAAAGAAAAAGTCATCGCAAGGATTTTAAGTGATTTTCTTTTCTCCCCCCAACAGCATCAATTGAAACATATTTGGTATTTATTCAAAACCAGGGCGCATCAGAAACACTCCGGAGGCTGACGAGACCATCATAGACCCCAACATCCTCTCCCTGAACATCCTGTCTTCTGGATATTTCTGGCCAAAACATGATGACAAGTATGCATTCACTTACAAGTGAAACCTATTTTGCATACCATAATACATTAATATGTTCTGTACACCAGTTTTCTGAAGCTGAGCCATGATTGGTTGTTACCTAAACTGTGAGCAACTGTGATGTCATTGACAGAAAATTGCAAAATGGCCGCCCCCTGAGATGGACAAAAACAGGAAGATTTTACAACTTTACTCATATTCCACAAAAGCAATTTTAATCAGAATGCCATGTTTAGACTAGTGGGCCTACATACAACATAATATTGCAAAATCTGGAGTTTTTGTTATGTTACAGCCTTTTTCCAAAATTGAATTAACTGAAGTTTTCCCTAAAAAATTCTTCATACAACAACCATACTAACAACATGAAAAAACTTGGTTCTATATTTGCAGTACCTTTCTAGCTACATCATAATGTAGCACAATTTGTAAAAAGAGATGCCTTACGAATAGTTCTAGATGCACTCAATGCACAGGTGAGTCCTCGGTTTACAGCGGTCCCACCATGCAACATTTCGAGGTTACGATCAGCGTGCAATGGGCTACTTTTCGCAGTAGTGCGTGATTGCGCCATATCAAAGGATAAGACAGCATGGCAATATCTGGCTCTACTTTTTTTAACTTATAATCAATGCATCTATGATTTATTTTCACGGATCTAATTTCCCGCTTTTAACGTTTCATTACCTGTTTTTTCTTCCCGACTGGCAGCGTCTCCTTGGGAGTTGATCATAGGTATTTCGTGATCAGTCTGACTGATTGCTTACCGTTTCTTCCACGTGGCGAACTCATTCCCTCCTTCAAAAACATTTACGGCGAATCCTAACAGTGATTTTTCGTATGTCAGAACCTTCTACCGGTTCGAGGCAGCATGGGACAGCTCCATGCACAACTCCCTGCTCCTGAATAGAGTTACGCCATACGGAGAGAAGATCTACATTACCCTTTCAGCCTATTTGGAGGTAGAGTTGTATCACCCACCACCTTAATGAGGGCAGATGCTCTAGGACATGTGTTTGAATTGTGGTGTGTGTCTCTAAACCAGATGGAGAACTGCACTCAGCCTACCGTTATCACCAAAGATTTCTGCATGGTGTTCTACTCCCGCGACACCAAACTTCCCGCGTCTCGTTCCATCCGAAACCTCTTCAGTACAGGCTGCCTCAGGCCTTCAGAGAGGTTGAGAATTTTCACAGTTGTCTGATTTACATCTTTTTAATTGGTTTTAATTGCGTGCACTGTGTAATCACTCCCCTCTCAGTAACCGTGTCACCGGAGTCTACGAGGTGACGCTCTGCTACGTGGCTGACAACGGGAGTCCCGGTAAGAGCTAGTGCGACTCAGCCGCAAATCACAAGTGATTGTGCTTTTTAATTTTATTTGAAAGCATTCTGAGTTTTTTTTTTTGTGTTTGTTTTCTTCAGGAATGCAGCGGCGTCGCAGGCGAGTGCTGGACACCTCGGTGGCATACGTCCGAGGGGAGGAGAACCTGGCTGGGTGGAGGCCTCGCAGTGACAGCCTCATTTTGGACCACCAGTGGGAGCTGGAGAAGCTCAGCTTGCTTCAAGAGGTGAGTTAAGCGGGTTGCACATATACCAACAATTGGGGAAAGAAGTCAGCTACTTGTTTGATGTCGCTGAAAAATAATCCCGAATGCTTTTCCTTCCTGTTCATTCTTCTTCAGATAAAATGATGTGCCCTATTCATTTTCAGATCATTTTAAAGTTATTAGCCAGTGGTAGTGTCATCAATATGCCATTCATTTGCATGATTTTCTTTTGACTTAATGTAACTACTGAAGTCAAAGTTTGATTAAGTTTGCCACTTGCTATATATTCAAATTTTACCACAACACAAATACATAAAAAAACATAGTGTGAGTTCATAAATAAGTAAATTTGATCAAAATCGAGAGTTTATAGGTAAAATAACAGAGGGTCGAGAATCCAACCTTGTGGAATGCCCAATATTGTCGATTCACTTCATCGTTGTGGATCCTCTGATTAATACAAGTCCATTTGGTGTCATTTTTAAATGACTGCTTAAATGTAGGTTGATCACAAATCAAGTAGTATGGAACCCTACAATCTTCACGTATTCCGCCAAAATTATGTGTGAATGTAAGTGCATTGCGCAACACCACCAATGTTTTATGCACATCTACTACAAAGGTGGAGAAGACCCGGCATTACCTACTACTGAGGGAGAAGCTGGAGGCCACCCTGCTGGCCGGCCAGGATGCTCTCTACAAGGGCAGTGAAATCAGCGACTTTGCCAAGAGTCCAGTTCTAAGCCAGAGTCCTGCAAGCAGCCCGGCACTGGACAGCCCCAACCAGAGGCAGAGGGAGCTGGCTGCCAAGGTGAGTCCTCCTCAACTCATACAATCATTCTACTTTTTGGACATTTAATTAATAGTATTTTTTTTTTCTTTCCAGTGTCTGCGTCTACTGATGCACACCTTCAACAGGGACTACAGCCAGGTGAGCAGCAGTGCCAGTGAGAGCAAGGTGAGCCCCTGCCCAAACCCTTTAATCCGGCCCGTAATCCCCTCGGAAACCTTGAGTGACCAAGGCCTGCTCTCCATTCTATTGTATTTATTTTTGTATTTTTTTTAATCATCTCTTATCTTTTTTTTTTTCTCACCTTTGTCACCACGCTCTATTTCTATTATTAGACGATCCAGCATTGGATCTTTACAGAGCATCATAAGATATTCCGTTTATTTCATTCAAAGGTCTTTCGGATTTCTCTTATCTTTATCTATTAAAAATGATTTTCAATTTTTTTAATTCTTTTTTTTTTTTTTTTTTTTTTTAAGGAACGAAAATGGCTAAATTAATGCAAAAAAAGACTCGACCTGTTCATAATGTAAACACTCAGTGGGCCAGATTAAAAAAATGTAGAAGGCCGCATGTACTTGTACTTTTTGCATACCCTGTGTGAACTTTAACATGAACTTTTACATGTGTTGGTTGTCTTCCTGTCCTCAGTTACATCCCAGCTGTTGTGGATCACAGAGGCGGGATGCCCTGCCATGGCACGTACCTCCTACATCAGGTTCGAACACATCAATATTATGATGACAGAAAGGGAAACGTGGATTTAATTATTTTTAATTTCAGTCGTAAAAGAAAACTATTGAAAAGCTTTATAAGCCCCCCCCCGGACGTTGCTTATATCCAGAGGAGAGCCAGTGTTCTTGTTTCAAGCTGTCAATTTGTCACGATAAATGTTCATTCAAAGTACTTTCACGACAGCGCCATCGCCATTCTCATTAGCCTAATGGAAAGCCGCTATCTTAATGAGGACATCAAATGGGGAATGCTATTGACAAGCTAAGGATTAGCTTGATTAAAGATTAGCATCGCGGTAGCAGCCATTTTAAACGGTTAAATAAATGTGACTCAACAGAAGCAGCATAGACAAGTAAAAGATAAGTCGGTAGTGGCAGGCATATATTCTCCCTGCTTTGTGGAAAATCATAAATTCAATCTTTAATTAATTTCGCTAATACTTCTTGACACGCTCAATCAACCCCACCTGTGTCACACTACTGCCACCATCAGCCTGCCACACTCGTGTTTGTCTATGTAATATGTAAAAAGAAAAAAATTCCCTTGAGGAACATAGTGGTGAAAAATTCTGTAATTCTGCATTAAAACTAAGAATTTGGCTATTGGAAAGAGTGTGTTTCAGCACCATCAAGCTGTTGCAACTTCCTGACCTTGCAGGGTATTCAGAGGAGAATCACAGTCGCCATCGCTCATGAAAACGGGAATGACATTGAATGGAAAGAAGTGAAGGAGCTGGTGATTGGTGAGTTTACAGAAAGAAAAAGTCATCGCAAGGATTTTAAGTGATTTTCTTTTCTCCCCCCAACAGCATCAATTGAAACATATTTGGTATTTATTCAAAACCAGGGCGCATCAGAAACACTCCGGAGGCTGACGAGACCATCATAGACCCCAACATCCTCTCCCTGAACATCCTGTCTTCTGGATATTTCTGGCCAAAACATGATGACAAGTATGCATTCACTTACAAGTGAAACCTATTTTGCATACCATAATACATTAATATGTTCTGTACACCAGTTTTCTGAAGCTGAGCCATGATTGGTTGTTACCTAAACTGTGAGCAACTGTGATGTCATTGACAGAAAATTGCAAAATGGCCGCCCCCTGAGATGGACAAAAACAGGAAGATTTTACAACTTTACTCATATTCCACAAAAGCAATTTTAATCAGAATGCCATGTTTAGACTAGTGGGCCTACATACAACATAATATTGCAAAATCTGGAGTTTTTGTTATGTTACAGCCTTTTTCCAAAATTGAATTAACTGAAGTTTTCCCTAAAAAATTCTTCATACAACAACCATACTAACAACATGAAAAAACTTGGTTCTATATTTGCAGTACCTTTCTAGCTACATCATAATGTAGCACAATTTGTAAAAAGAGATGCCTTACGAATAGTTCTAGATGCACTCAATGCACAGGTGAGTCCTCGGTTTACAGCGGTCCCACCATGCAACATTTCGAGGTTACGATCAGCGTGCAATGGGCTACTTTTCGCAGTAGTGCGTGATTGCGCCATATCAAAGGATAAGACAGCATGGCAATATCTGGCTCTACTTTTTTTAACTTATAATCAATGCATCTATGATTTATTTTCACGGATCTAATTTCCCGCTTTTAACGTTTCATTACCTGTTTTTTCTTCCCGACTGGCAGCGTCTCCTTGGGAGTTGATCATAGGTATTTCGTGATCAGTCTGACTGATTGCTTACCGTTTCTTCCACGTGGCGAACTCATTCCCTCCTTCAAAAACATTTACGGCGAATCCTAACAGTGATTTTTCGTATGTCAGAACCTTCTACCGGTTCGAGGCAGCATGGGACAGCTCCATGCACAACTCCCTGCTCCTGAATAGAGTTACGCCATACGGAGAGAAGATCTACATTACCCTTTCAGCCTATTTGGAGGTAGAGTTGTATCACCCACCACCTTAATGAGGGCAGATGCTCTAGGACATGTGTTTGAATTGTGGTGTGTGTCTCTAAACCAGATGGAGAACTGCACTCAGCCTACCGTTATCACCAAAGATTTCTGCATGGTGTTCTACTCCCGCGACACCAAACTTCCCGCGTCTCGTTCCATCCGAAACCTCTTCAGTACAGGCTGCCTCAGGCCTTCAGAGAGGTTGAGAATTTTCACAGTTGTCTGATTTACATCTTTTTAATTGGTTTTAATTGCGTGCACTGTGTAATCACTCCCCTCTCAGTAACCGTGTCACCGGAGTCTACGAGGTGACGCTCTGCTACGTGGCTGACAACGGGAGTCCCGGTAAGAGCTAGTGCGACTCAGCCGCAAATCACAAGTGATTGTGCTTTTTAATTTTATTTGAAAGCATTCTGAGTTTTTTTTTTTGTGTTTGTTTTCTTCAGGAATGCAGCGGCGTCGCAGGCGAGTGCTGGACACCTCGGTGGCATACGTCCGAGGGGAGGAGAACCTGGCTGGGTGGAGGCCTCGCAGTGACAGCCTCATTTTGGACCACCAGTGGGAGCTGGAGAAGCTCAGCTTGCTTCAAGAGGTGAGTTAAGCGGGTTGCACATATACCAACAATTGGGGAAAGAAGTCAGCTACTTGTTTGATGTCGCTGAAAAATAATCCCGAATGCTTTTCCTTCCTGTTCATTCTTCTTCAGATAAAATGATGTGCCCTATTCATTTTCAGATCATTTTAAAGTTATTAGCCAGTGGTAGTGTCATCAATATGCCATTCATTTGCATGATTTTCTTTTGACTTAATGTAACTACTGAAGTCAAAGTTTGATTAAGTTTGCCACTTGCTATATATTCAAATTTTACCACAACACAAATACATAAAAAAACATAGTGTGAGTTCATAAATAAGTAAATTTGATCAAAATCGAGAGTTTATAGGTAAAATAACAGAGGGTCGAGAATCCAACCTTGTGGAATGCCCAATATTGTCGATTCACTTCATCGTTGTGGATCCTCTGATTAATACAAGTCCATTTGGTGTCATTTTTAAATGACTGCTTAAATGTAGGTTGATCACAAATCAAGTAGTATGGAACCCTACAATCTTCACGTATTCCGCCAAAATTATGTGTGAATGTAAGTGCATTGCGCAACACCACCAATGTTTTATGCACATCTACTACAAAGGTGGAGAAGACCCGGCATTACCTACTACTGAGGGAGAAGCTGGAGGCCACCCTGCTGGCCGGCCAGGATGCTCTCTACAAGGGCAGTGAAATCAGCGACTTTGCCAAGAGTCCAGTTCTAAGCCAGAGTCCTGCAAGCAGCCCGGCACTGGACAGCCCCAACCAGAGGCAGAGGGAGCTGGCTGCCAAGGTGAGTCCTCCTCAACTCATACAATCATTCTACTTTTTGGACATTTAATTAATAGTATTTTTTTTTTCTTTCCAGTGTCTGCGTCTACTGATGCACACCTTCAACAGGGACTACAGCCAGGTGAGCAGCAGTGCCAGTGAGAGCAAGGTGAGCCCCTGCCCAAACCCTTTAATCCGGCCCGTAATCCCCTCGGAAACCTTGAGTGACCAAGGCCTGCTCTCCATTCTATTGTATTTATTTTTGTATTTTTTTTAATCATCTCTTATCTTTTTTTTTTTCTCACCTTTGTCACCACGCTCTATTTCTATTATTAGACGATCCAGCATTGGATCTTTACAGAGCATCATAAGATATTCCGTTTATTTCATTCAAAGGTCTTTCGGATTTCTCTTATCTTTATCTATTAAAAATGATTTTCAATTTTTTTAATTCTTTTTTTTTTTTTTTTTTTTTTTGGATGGACCATGTGTGGCAAGTAGTCGCATTTTAAAACATCTAAGAAGAACATCTACTCTTGATCGGCTAACTATTAAGGGGGGGAGATCCAGAGCCACTTTTAAGCAACAGCACACTCATGCAACACCCAAATCTTCTGCGATCATGTCAAAGCCAACTTGTAAGCAACGCTGCATAGTTTCATTGAATGCAGAGGTTAGCGTCGGCTAACACTGAAAAGTGGCACAATTTTTTAAATGTGTTTTTTAAAAACAAACACATGGCTTCACTGTAGCGCAGTCTGTTGAGCTCAATGCTAACAAACAAGCAAAACGCCATAGATGGGCTAACGAATGGCATTGTTGTGACCATGTTATAACCCTTTAGGCAACGAACATCTGAACTCAAACAGTGCAGGAGAACATGTAGAGGGACAATCTAGCAATACTCGGACGTATTCTTTATCTCCTGTGATGAAGTTTTACTGTGATTTACTGATGAGTTTTGACTGACTCCATGTATATCCATATGTGTGTATACTGACCCCTAGTGGCCAAATCACACATACCAAAAGGAGCAGCACAGTGTCCATTGAATTAAACACACTTTAAAAAAAACCCACAAAAACTATAATTCCCTACATTATAGACATTTTATAACACTGCCAAAGGGTTTCAATTTGTGGAAAAATGCACAATGTGTCTCCTTTAAAGTCTTTTGTTGTTTATTAGCATACACTAGCGATGATAATGGCTTTTCAACTTTAGCCTGACCTCCATCGTAACACATCATTTTAATCACTCCTTGAATCTGCAAGGACGTGCTTCCTACTAACCTTCCATGTTACTCCTCCTGCATGGCCATTTTAACACCACACAAGGGGCTCTTGAGACAAGCCAGATTGTATCATTTCCGCAAATTGACCAATTCCGGAATGCTGGCGTGCGTGCTACGTGTGTGTTTTGCGGATGTGCCGCGTCGTGCCACGTGTGCGATTCTCTCCATGCGTGTCCGTGTGTTTCTGAAGCTCTCCGAGATATCAGCGTCGCTCATGAGGGAGGCGTCCGTGTCCACGTTGAGCACGCTCACGCCGTCCTCCACCTGCCCTTCGCTGATTGAGGGACACTACGACATCAGGTGTGGGACTTTTACCAAACACACCATTACAACCATTTACAAATTGTCACCTTAAAAAAACAAACAAAAAAAAAAAAACCTCAAAACATAGCAAACTGAACTAAATAGTGCCGGTTCTATTTATCATTATAATAATTTCATATCAGAGGTAGAATTGAATGCTCTGTTCAACAAAAGGTTTTTAATTTTTGCATGAGGAATCGTTTAAGGCCCAAATACGATAATGTAACTCTAATTTAATATCGAACCGCCAAATACATAATAGCAATCAACATCAACATCTGGAACCTTTCAACGGTTTTGCTTTGGCGATACTGGGTGGCATCTTGGTGTCAAGGAAGTATCTTGTCATTTCTGTGTTATAGACACACTGAGCCTGGTTCCGGAGCGTCGACCCCCGATCTGGACCCTTTCAGCCCGGTGGACAGAAAGAAAGCTCTCAAAGGCTGCAGCTTTGTTCCGGACATACAGGAGATACGAGTCAGGTCGGGATAATTGCACTCACACACTTGTTGGGACTTATACTAGGCTTCAATTAATATGTATGTACATATGTGACATATAATTAAAAATAAACCATAGAGATGCCTTTAATGAACAGTTTTGATCTGATCAACAAGAGAAAAAAAAAAGGCCAAAATGCTGAGGTTGTTGGTCAGCTCGCTGGGACCTATGAGGATGAATTACAAATTGGAAAAATCGGATTGGTTACAAAAGCAGTCCCGTTACTAATAGTTCACGTTACATGGGTCTCCATTACTGATTCTGAAGCCCCTGGGCAGATTAAATTCACATGGCAACAAACAGAGGCTGCGATCTAATTTGACAACAAATTCTAACATCCACGTACTGGAAGCAGTGCAGCCCAGAGAAAGACAACATGAAATGAAGGCAATAGACTTTAGGGAATCATGTAATACAATTTCATGGAACAAATATTCGAATTTAGGATCGTGGTTTCATGCTTCTGACATTATTTTGTGATTATGTACAGCCCAATCGTGTCCAAGAAGGGTTACCTCCACTTTCTGGAGCCCCACGCCAGCGGTTGGGTGAAACGCTACGTGGTGGTGCGCCGGCCCTACGTTTACCTGTACCGCAGCGAGAGGGACAGCGTGGAGCGAGCCGTCATCAACCTGTCGTCTGCCAAGGTGGAATACAGCGAAGACAAGCAGACTTTGCTGCGGGTACGAGCCAAAAGCATCGCAAGCGGTTTCCCCGGGAACCTGGACCCTTTCAGCCCGGTGGACAGAAAGAAAGCTCTCAAAGGCTGCAGCTTTGTTCCGGACATACAGGAGATACGAGTCAGGTCGGGATAATTGCACTCACACACTTGTTGGGACTTATACTAGGCTTCAATTAATATGTATGTACATATGTGACATATAATTAAAAATAAACCATAGAGATGCCTTTAATGAACAGTTTTGATCTGATCAACAAGAGAAAAAAAAAAGGCCAAAATGCTGAGGTTGTTGGTCAGCTCGCTGGGACCTATGAGGATGAATTACAAATTGGAAAAATCGGATTGGTTACAAAAGCAGTCCCGTTACTAATAGTTCACGTTACATGGGTCTCCATTACTGATTCTGAAGCCCCTGGGCAGATTAAATTCACATGGCAACAAACAGAGGCTGCGATCTAATTTGACAACAAATTCTAACATCCACGTACTAGAAGCAGTGCAGCCCAGAGAAAGACAACATGAAATTAAGGCAATAGACTTTAGGGAATAATGTAATTGTAATTTCAAGGAACAAATATTAGAATTTAGGATGTGGGTTCATGCTTCTGACATTATATTGTGATTATGTACAGCCCAATCGTGTCCAAGAAGGGTTACCTCCACTTTCTGGAGCCCCACGCCAGCGGTTGGGTGAAACGCTACGTGGTGGTGCGCCGGCCCTACGTTTACCTGTACCGCAGCGAGAGGGACAGCGTGGAGCGAGCCGTCATCAACCTGTCGTCTGCCAAGGTGGAATACAGCGAAGACAAGCAGACCTTGCTGCGGGTACGAGCCAAAAGCATCGCAAGTGTTTTCCCCGTGAAATGAGTGTCGGGAGTGACTCCAGCGCTCCCACCCGTCTGCAGACTCCAAACACTTTTGCCGTGTGCACCGAGCATCGTGGGATACTACTCCAAGCCAACAATGACAAAGAAATGCATGACTGGCTTTATGCCTTCAATCCTCTGTTGGCGGGTACCATCAGGTGAGTGTTGGCAGTCGCCATCAGATATATACCGTAGGCCGACTTCCTGTTTAATTTCATACATGGGTCCTTGAGACTTTTGTTGTCCGTTCTGCCGTGATTGACGTGTCCACCTCATTTCGTGTTGATAAGAGAAAATGGATGAAATGGAACTGGTTGCTTAAAACCCCAAACTTTTTTTAGACATGCCCACCAAATTTCATGCTGATCAGCCGAATCCGAGTCTGGGGATCTTTTTTTCAACAATGGGCCATTTTCCGACAGCTAAATGATCATCCAACTTTAACTTGATGCACCAGTCACATTAAATACCTTTGGAGGGGAAAACTGTTTCACAATTCAGCGTTGTCCATCTGTCTAGGATAAGTGCTTGCAATCGGTTCTCATTTAGACAAAGTCCCTGATAGGAAGTCTTGGAACCCGCCCAAACCAAAATGATCAGCTTCCTCTTCACATGAGCACCACGAGGCAGAATTCTGGCAGAGCATCACACCCTGACTTCATAACTCAATCAAATGTACTTTTTTTTTTTTTTAACTGTTCCCGCAGGTCTAAACTGTCTAGAAGAAAGTCGGTCCATTCGGCACCGGTGGCCCAGAGGATGTGAGCCTCTTCACAGGCATCTAAACACCACCAACTCTCTTACTTTACATAACCCACTGAAATAACCTTCTAAATATACTGTATCTAACATGCTATCACTGTTACAAAGCTGCATGTTGACAACACCCTGTACAGCAGAGTCATACACATGCAGGTGGCCATCCTTTGTGTTTGCAAACTGGCTGATATGCCACGTGTGTTCTTTTTGTACACAGTGACACCCGGTGGCGGGGAGGTTCCTCTGCATGATGATCGTGCTAGTTTGTGTAGTCTATTGCCTTGTACACGTTTCGCTTCGAAGGTGTCACAGTACATTTAATACTAGTTCAGCTATCATGTGGCTTTGGAAAAATGGAAAGCCGTTTGAGCATTTATTCAATATCCTTGATCCGTGTACTAGTACACTCCGAGTTGAGAAAGCACTATTAAAATAATGATATATTGTATTGCATTGTCATACAGCACACTAGGAGAACAACTGTGTCTTAGTCGTACCAATTTTTAAATGAATGTATTCATTTATTTCTTTATTTTGTTACTAGTGCCACTTTTTGCCTTTTGGTAGTATCAAAGATCCTGATTAAGTGAACCATTTTCAGCATTTATTCAATATCTTTGATATTCATCTTAATGTCCATATGCTATAGTCTTAGCATGACTTAGCATGGCGCTTTTGGCCTACTCGTATGCCATTAAACCTTCCTAATAGACTCCTGTCCTTCACTAGTACCACTTCTAGGTCCAACTAGTCTTCATGCGTCACATACTAGTAGCCTTGTGAGCCCTACTAATAGCACCAATACTAACTAGGAGTGTTGCCTCACTAGTAACATGTAGTTGTCGTACTAGAATGTTGGAGTTGTCCTACTGGTGTGCGGGAATGTCATGCAGTACTGGGATATAATTTAACTCGTAAAACACATTCGATGTACTAGTGCCCTTACCATAAAGTTAATTCTGCATTTTTTTTTTCCAACCGAAGGTCATCCAAGGTTATTAAAAGTGACACCAGTAGAGGAAGAAATGTTCCGAGTACACCGTTCTAATAGTGTAGTAACACTACTACTCGTGACATCGTGAATTACACTAGTTTATATTTAGCACTTCACTAATAGTACTAGTCGGGCACAGATGTCAACAGTGCACAGTTTTGCCTCACAAGTAACATGAAGTTGGCCTACTATGATGCCAAAGAAAGTTTAGTGGAAAAAAAAACGTTACTAGTTAGACACAGTCGTTCTACTATTGGGCGAAATTGTCTTACGGGTGATGACAAAGAATGTACTAGTACGTGGCCCTTTGTATAGAGATCAATCCAATAAATGCTCAAACATCTTTCCAGGCTAGGTGTAAAGTAGGACCAAAGGGTCAAACGTTCTCCCATTATGTTCTATTTTCCTCAGAAAAATCACATAATACCCACACCTTTGAGAAAAAAAAAAGATAATCCCTGGTACGTAGAATCACAAAATAATGTTATTTATTGTCGCATTATGTTTTTCGTTATTTGTGATGGAACTATAGAACAATTTTGCTGCACGGCACTTTATCGTCCTTGTTAAGTTGTTGCGTTACCAAAGCGTTTTCTTTATTGTTTGTGCATAATTTACACTTGTCTCACCAAATTATATCGCATCAAGATGACAAAGGGTACACACATACGATAATCTGTCCGATTATCGGATGCCGCTAAAGGATTATCCTGAGCATTTATGCTGTGGTGTGGGTTGCGTTAATCGTGATTTGTCCTCCCCTATCTAGTTGGGAAAACAGTCGGGGACCAGCAAGGTAAATGTTAAACCTGTTCAGTATTTACGATTGGGTTATCTTGTGTGTGCGCTCAATGCTGAGTAGGGCCAACGACCTGACTCTGATTGTGATGTGGCCAGCAAGGTAAATGTTAATTAAACCTGTTCAGTATTTACGATTGGGGTATCTTGTGTGTGCGCTCAATGCTGAGTAGGGCCAACGACCAGACTCTTGATTGTGATGTGATACGGAATGATGCTCAGTTGAGTACACACATACCCATTGTTGGGCCGATTTTGAGCTGTATTCTTCTCCTTCTGATCAAAGTCAGCAAAGTTCTGATTATCTCTAACATCAAAAGATGATCTTGATCGATTGTGGTGTGGTGTCGTGTTGCTCGGGAAAACTGTCAGGCTGGCCTTTGTAAGTGCTGATCCTGTTCAACATTCACGATGGCAAATCCGTGCCGTATGTGTGTGGTCAACACTGAGTTGTGCCGAGCCACCGACTTGGCGATTATGACATGAAATGGAATGATAATCAGTGAAGCGGGATACACGCATACCCATAGTTGGGGAGAATTTTAACATGTTCCCTCTTAATCAGAATCAGCAAAATTCAGATTATCGGATGTCTCTAAAATATTATCCTGACTGATTATCTGCGGTGTAGGTGTGTGTTCGGAGTGATTTTTCTTCCCACATCTGCTCGGAAGAAGTACATTTTAAACTTGGTTCAGATTTACAACGGTGATTGTCGGACGTTTCATGCTGTACTGTATATGGTGTTATGTATTGGTCATCTGGAGCACACCGCACATTCTGAGATCACAAGTGGCAATTTTTGTTCTTATCATGTGCCTTTTTAAAATCGACAACGATTTCAGTCGATAATCGGCATTTCCTACTCTTGTAGAGTGTGTTTTACCACAGATGCCCAACACAGCCGACAACCGGGCCCCTTCTAACTCTGACTGGAAGGGAGGAAAAATGATCTAATTCGGCCTGATTATCGGTATGTGTGTAACCCGGCTCATTACGTTAAACATTTGTTTTTATTTAAAGAAAAATTAGGGTCATGTCAATTCTGTCCATTCTGTCTTTAAAGGTCAAGCGTTTGACTTTTAATGCAGGAGCCTGTCATAATGGGAATTTTGGAGAATATCTTGCAAAAACGAGATCCGCTTGGTAGGTTGTTCATGAATTTTGTGAGAATAAGACGTCATAACCTTCCTTCTTTGAATTTCTGCCAAGCTGGCGCATTTAAATGTCAAAATCTCGAAAGATTTTTGTACAAAACGAAATTGAACATGAGATACGTAGCACTGCGTGTTTTCTGTTTGTTTTGCTTTCTGTTGCCCAGTCCAGAATTAATCTTTTTTTTTTCTTCCAATTCCCCCTCAAAAAAATTTGGTGATTATGAAGAGGAAAGGTCCACACAGCAGCTCATGCCTCCCTTTTTCTCCACCTCCTCTTGTTCAGCTTGTTTATAGGCTAAAAGTGAATACTATTCATTTTTGACATATACGAGTGAATATACTCATATCGTCGTATGTTGTGCTAGCCTGTGATGTCCATGGTGTCCCTCAGTATCACTTGTAAGCCCAAATCCGACTTGTTTGCATAGCCTATTATGGAATTGTTTGTAGTTGGTTTTAATGCCAGTTTTTGCCAACCTTTGTTGAGCCAAAGCACAAAAGTTTGCACCAAACAAAAAGGCCATAAAAAGTATATTGTTGCTTCTTGGGAGGAATCCTCGCATCACCTAAAAACAATAAGCTGACTGAACACTGACTGATTAGGCGGAAATGACTTACCTTTGTGGCTGACTTGTTCCTTCTGCACCGATGCATTACAGCGATCCATTTTTACCAAAAGCGGCTTGATCAAATGTATCTCACCTGAGTGTTTGCACTCATTATTCTCTTTAAAAAAATGTCCAGTGTCAGTAGTGACGTAATGCTTCCGCGGAGTGAGGGAAGAGGCGAAGCTTTACGGCACGCCTCAGACAGTTCAACAGAGTTAATAGATTTTGCACCTTTCTGCCATCTAGTGGAAGACCATTCAATTGTTCCGTCTGTCACTAAACGTCGCTGGCATCGATAGACAAGAAGAGATCAATTGTTTGTCCACTAAAATTAATAAATCTGAATTTCCAGGGCAATTAAGTGACATTGGACCATTTCCCAGGTCACATTGTCAGGAATAACTGGTCTGCGCCAGACTGAGACAACACCGCAACACCCCCCCCCCTCCAAAAAAAAACAACATGCTATTTTAATCAGGAAAATGAAAAAGAAAGGTTTGTTGAAGACATGGTCTGCCAACCAATTGGTCTTTTGTTTTGCATGCTCCAGGCCAGCCAACCTGTTTAGCCATGCAGCCTGATAGGGAAAACCTGGAACGACGATTTGAATAGCAATTCCCAACAATGTGATTTCCTGCATGTTTTGGGGTCATCTCAGTCTCTTTTTTTTTTTTTCTTTTCGGGCAAAATGTTAATTGTGACCATATGAAAAATGAGAATGCAATGCACTATTTCTTTCAGTGGAATCCTGCACATGTGCATTAGGCTGAATTGCAATTCTGGCCAACAGTATTTCCAGTCTATTTCTACGTTTCAACTGACACGCGTCGCATGGTAACAACACAAGTAAACAATAAGTTACATACGGTAGAGTTTCATTGGCTTGGGCAGACAAGCTGGGCAACACTCTCTTCAAAGAATTTTAATTGACACCCCCCCAAGAAATCTGAGTTTTGTCACTTCAACCATGCAGTTTAAATCTTCAATAAATTGTACCGAGGCTTGTATTCAAGGGATTATTATCTTTTAGTGCATTTGTTTAACAAAGCGCCCCTAAGTGACCTCATTTGGGGACACTGTCTACATTTGTGTGCACTGTGAGCTCTGCTTCATGTCGGGCTGCTTCTTTAGAGTTGGATCTCAGCATGCGGGTCCCACATTTCGTCCTCCGCTCTCCACTCCTCTTTCTCCAACTGCCTGTAAAAGTTCAGCTGTAAAGTTTAGTCACTACCCACTCTTTGTAACGGACTCTCCCTTCTGGCTCTTTCTTGTATATAAATGATGATCCGCAGTGTGCGTGAGTTCTTTTCTGTCCACTGTACGCCACCACGAATGAGAATATCAATTTTCAAAAGCAGTCTTGCAGGGTGATCGTTTTTTGCACTTTTGTCCCCGTCTTCATCTCACTTTTATCTTCTTTGTTCTTCTCGTAGCTTGTCAAGAGATTAAAAAAAAAAACGTAATCTGAATAAATGAGTGATCAAATGTATGCTCACATCGTTGTATTGTCCTTGTTTTCAATTTAAAATGGAGTGTCTGCTAGCTACGGTGGAAGCGTCGAAGCATAACTGCTCAAAGTATTTCCTTAAATTTCATGATACATATGTACTTCGATCATTAGTTTTCTTGTGGGTATCCATTTGAACACAAATAATAACCAGAATCGTTATTGTCAAATTTGCATGATTTGCGGTTGCATTATGCATCCACTAGATGGAGCTACGCTGAAGGAATACAAAACAATACAATACAGCTTTATTTATACAGTATAGAACTTTCATAAATGCTGGGGCTGTAACAAAGTGCTTTACAAAACATTTAAAATACTACGTCCAAGACACACACAATTATACCTCGGTTTTCGACCATAATCCTTTCCAGAAGACTGTTCGTAAAGCGATTCGTTCGAAATCCGAAACTATTTTATTAGCCCATGATTAGGGGCTAATACACTATGCAGAAATAACATAAAAACAGTCAGATTTGCGTAAATCACAACAAACACGTCTGCTCACATTGAACGCTACATGAGGAAGCGTCATTTCCTCATGTCTACACATATATACAGTATATAAAAGGGACTTCAAATTATAAGGCGCACTGTCAGCTTTTGAGAAAATTGAATGCTTTTAAGTGCGCCTTGTGGTGCGGAAAATACGGTAATTGTTTAGTTGTGTGTGAGTCACTTGTTTATATTGATGTCCTGTTCAATACGACCAACTAGGCTTAGGGAAGATCCAGAACCACTTTCAAGCTCTTGCATACATCGACTTGGTCTATACCTCCACGTGCAGGTCACTCTACCCGTCCTTCCTCTTCAATTATGAAGAAGTGCCCGGCCCCCCCAACTGAGCTTTAGGTCCAGGAGATTCATCTTCAATGGTTTTCAGCTTAAGTGACCAATGAGCACAACAGCAGATTCTGGATTTCTGATAGGAGTCACCACATTTTTTTTCAACTTTTCTCCATCCACGACTTAACGGTGAGTGCTGTTCTGATCATCGTGGTAAGATGTTGATTTTCAAATGAGGGCAATGTTTTCTTGTTGGGCGGATGACACTTCTGTGAGATCCCAAAATGCATATCAATGAGAAAAAAAAGTAAATTCATAAATAATTACAACTGCGCTGTATTTCTTCGTTCAGTGGAGAGCAGTCATTTCAGGCAAAAACAAATTCCGAAGCCCCGCCTGCTCATGTCTGAATTAACATCATTTAAATGCATACATTGTTTACTAGCAAATTCATTTTAAATAACTTTTTTTTAATATATACTGGTTACAAACTTTCAAGGGGAAATTTGACAAAGTAAAAAAAATGTCAGTCTCATATCTCACCATAACGGAGGGAAAATAAAAGCATCGGAAACGTGTTTCCACAAATTTATTGATCATATTATGAAGGTAATGCAAATTTTGCTCATTAAAATAAACTTAAGCAAAAGCTCAGTTAAAATGAGAAAAAAAAGATAATTCTTGAAATTTACCTCGATGTAGGAAATGGCAATTAATGTAAAGAATCTTTATATATGCATATATATTTGTCTTAATTTGTTGAATTGCCCTTTGAATGATTCTAACCAGTATAATAAATAAACAAAACAATGCAACGTGAAATGAATTTGTGAACAATGCAATGCCAATTCATTTTGCATTTAAATTCAGTTAATTTTGCACCACCAAGTATGAAAATGTCGCATCCATATTCCTAATCTTTAACAGAAAAACTAATATTTGGGCGAATTTAAAAAAAAAAAGTTGATGCATGGTTGTTATTGGACAAAGGCCGTATATGAGAAGTGACAAAAAGGTGTTTGTATTACTTGTATATTTCATGCACCATTTAACAGTGCTTAGTGGGTTCAGGTGATCTTGGGCAATGCTCCAGGACACTGTTGAGGTTACCTGAAGCACAATATCACATTTCCACTGACTCTCACAAGCTTTTTCCTGCATGCCGAGAAGCTTCACATTTCACCGCCATTGTTCTTTGCATTAAGTATGCGTATGCGTATGTGTGTGTGTGTTTGTGTGTGTGTGAGAGACGGAGGGACTTGATTACCTCCCGTATTCAGAGATGTGCCATGTCAGGTCCAACTCCTGCTCATTTTGTCTGCTTCCTGTTCTTTCAGATTCGGCCAGCTGCTGCTGCTGCTTCTTGAGAACTTTTTCAATCAACATGGAGAACAGCAAGGTGTTCACTGGTCAAGTCCCGTTATTCAAATTTTGTATGCAGATGAGAGAAAAGTATTGGGTCACATATTGTGAATGATCAATTCCGGCTCAGGTGGCCCGAAAGGAAAAAACAAAAACAAAAGTGGAATTACCAATTGAATATACAGTATAAGTAGTCTAAGTCCATCAAATCTATCCCTATTTCATAAGGATGTAGCGGCATCCAGCCAAAAGCGCTGCTCACATTCCGAGTCTTCTGTGAACTGAAAGGAAAAAAAAAACAAAAGTGGAATTACGAATTGAACGTATGAGTAGTCTAAGTCCATCAAATCTATCCATATTTCATAAGGATGTAGCGGCATCCAGGCAAAAGCGCTGCTCACATTCCGAGTCTTCTGTGAACCTCTGAACCAGTCGTGACATGTAACTGACACACGCAAACACCTAATTCGTAAACAAACGCGGTGCAGCTCAAGTAGCAGACTAGCTAGCCGTGCGTTGCCGTGCCAACCCACCAGTTGAGAATCACTGATTTCAAGTCTTCAATGAACCTACCCAAGCATGTTTTGGGAATGTACACAGGAGGCCAATGCAATGGAGTTTTTTAAAGAACACATTATGCATTTCTGTCACGATTTAAAACAGTTTCCAAGTTTCTCGTTAAAATATACGTGTCATCCTTTTTATCGAAAGATCATGTATTATGCTTTGCGTGAGTCCAACAGCCGGTGAAGGAGGTGCTCCCCCTTCCTCGACTCCAAGAGATTGATTTATCCCCACCCCCGAACATTCGCCAAAGACAAACGGGGTCCATGCAGTACATCCACACGGCCTCCTCGGGTAAGTCACGTTTATGCTGTTGCTGTTTTTAACTGTAAACTAGGCAGGCTACATTGTGGACTGGCTACCGGTCAAGCAGAAAAAGTTTTTCTAGATACAACCAGAACCATTTGACAAATATTGACCTTTGTCTCAGTCTCATAAAATATCGACCAGAGTGTTACATTTTTCATTTGAAATGCTTTTCCAGGCCTTTACCGCAGCCTCTTTCAGTTCTCGTTTGGTCCTGGGGCTTTCTCCCTTCAGTTAAGTGTTAAGGTCCATGTGGCCAGTGTAAGACATCCACTTTTTTTCCCCCTGATGAAGTCCTTTGTTGTGTTCGCAGCTTCCCCGAATTAATTTTAAATGCATTTTTCTGTAACTTGTCAGTCAGTGGGTCGCAGACTTGATGCAGTTCCGAGACTTTAGGTTCTGACGTGTAACTGAATTACTCAAGCTTATAAATAGAAAAACAAACCCAGCTCATTCAAGTGCTCGTAAACTATGCCCATGTTTGGACTCCCTGCGGACGGCATAGAGGGAACAGTGACGGTGTGTGTGACCTGCGATTAGCTTGCGACCAATCCAGGGTGTGCCTGGGATAGGCTCGAGCTTCTCCACCAGCCTCGAAGGAAGACAAACGCTTTACAAAATGGATGTTGTCACTTCATTTATTTATTTGGCACGTCAGCTTGGTAAAAAAAGATTTGTCATGATCCACATCCTTTCGCGGGAAATTTTCCTCTCTATCTTCATTTATTTACACAGAACTGTTCTATTATTAATCCTACTAAGCCGCTAGAATGACAAGATAAATGAGACGGATGTCAGGGCGTTATTAACCCGTGTGACTTCATTTCTTTCTTTGGCGTTTCAGCATTTCTCAATCTCGAGACCGATTAGAATAGTTTACGGAATTGCAGTTGAATTGAGCGGAAAGGATCAGCGCTGCAAAATCGCGACGAAATAACCGAGAACTCAAGAGACGGCTGTGTCACATGTTGTGATTGGTTTCTAGTGATGACATCATTCAACCAGCTGAAGCCTCCGGAGCGAGATCTCACTCTGACGTCCCACGTGAAGTCCATCAAGTCATTGAAGCAGGCTGGCATCACTGCGGCCATTTTCACTGGACAAATGGTGAGCAACCGCTTGCTAAATGATCAAACCTAAATGCATCTCTCGGGATAGCTTTTGATGTAAATGCAGGCATTGGTTCGAGTGAAGGGTTTGGTTCCAGTTCCCTGATGGAACCTCAGTGCCAGTCTCAAGCCAGGATAATTGGTTGGCTTGTCAGGATGGGCAACCGGGCGTAAAAAAACAAACCGAGTATGAGTTTGGAACATGCCTCCAGTTTTTCTTTCTTCCTTCCTTGGGCCACAGGGAGGTTCCTCCGTATCACTTGTTCCTGGCCTGCATCTGATTCCAGTTGCCAAACTTGTTGGGTTGACCTCCTCCAAGTTGTCTTTCGTCAATCTTAGCCTCCCTTGTGGATTCCAGCTTAGTACGAAATGTTATGGTTGTTGTTGGTTTTCGAATTGAGTCCAACTTCCATTCCAGTTTCTCTCCAGCAATCACTCCCGAGATTGAATATCGGTAAGTAGCGGCAGGTCTGCCGTAGATTTTGAACATTCAACATGAGTAGCTCCCAAGCCAAGTACTTAGAGGCAAGTCTGGAGAATGTGTTCACTAAACAATTTCTGCGGCTGAGACACCAAACCCAGGCCCTCAAGACACCAAATCCCAGGCACCGGGTCACCAAAGATCCGTGCCTGTCACCACAGACCACAACTGACGACAGATGTGCAATGATGACATTTTCTCCATGCAGAAACTTGACAACGAAGAGTTTCCGCTGGAGGAACCGGTTATGGATGCGATCCTGGCCGACATCGAGGCTCTGGTGCCCACTCACGACCAGGCTGGTCGTCCAATTGCCGAGTGGAAACGTCAGGTGATGGTGAGACAGATGCAGACCCGACTGCAGGATGAGGCAGACCAGAGGCAACAGGTACCGTTAGACCTCATCTCAATCCACCCGGCGTTGAGTGTTTCTTCCTTTGAGGGAGATTTGCGTTTGTCTGCTCAGTATGATTCCATGTCTGATTTGTTTTCCTCGCCTCACAGGACTGGACCACTGACTGCCCACCTGCGGACGGCTGGAAGTTCTCCCAGACCCACAATGCTGTTCTTGGGCCCTTTGGTGAGCTCCTAACTGAAGAAGACATGCTGTATCTGCAACAACAGATCGACAACGTGTCCCTCCAGAAGCGTCACCAGGCCTACGAGTTGGAGCTGACCAGGTTGATGAAAGAACTAGGGTCCATGTTACCGGACCAGATCCTGAACATCTCCCTGAAGAAAGAGGGTCTGCACCAAATGGACGAGCAGCGAAGTCAAGACCTGCCGGTCTGGTGCAGTCGCGTCTCGGAGATAGTCAGAAGTATGTCGCTGTTGGTGGCCAACCTGACCCAGACCATCGAGGATGGATCTGTGAGGACCATGGTGGAGCGTATAATGAAGGGACGGCAGGGTTCAGGCGATGGTCTGGAAGTAGACCTGGGCAATAAAACGCTGCTGGACCAAAACGGACATCAGAGAGTGTCCATTTTTGGGCATCGTTTAGACAGCAATAGGAAACGAGTTGAGAAGGAGATCCGCCAGTCCGGGGTGTCCGTCAGAAAGCTTCGAGCCAATTTTGAAGGGCAGATCGGTGGCATTTATCCCTTTGCCGGGGTGGTTCCAGGTAGCCAGGCCTCAAAGAACGAAATAGTATCTGAGTTGTCAGGGATGAGCAAGCCAAATGGTCATGTGAGATTTAGCAGCAATCCTATAAAGCATTCGCATGTGATCGAGACCACGAGTCTAAGGAAAGAGCGCATTGTAGTGTTGTTCCTGAGCCACTGGAAAAAGTCGGCTTACGCCATCGCCACCCGGGCGGCTACGCGAGATGCGAAATCGGAACGAGGCCAGCAGAAAATGCCATCCTTGTTTCAGTTCTGCCAAAAGCGAGGCGCGGTGGACAAGATGTTAACTTCTTGGAGAAATAAACTCCAGCCGCGTGGTGTTCAAACATCCCATTTGACATCATCGCAAAGTCAACTTCGAGTGTTCTCTCCGGAGCAATTCCTACCTGAGGCGGACGGCACGGCGGTGAGCCACGATAGTTTGACATTGGATCTCTTCATGCTGGGATACTTCAACATTTTGGAGCAGGAGTTGTCGCCGGTTGAGAGGAAGATGAGGCATCTGCTCTGCTTCGAAGTCTTTGACCATGTGGGGTGTTTCCCATGGGAGACCGTGCGGGAATTCCACAAGGTTGTTCTTGAAGAAATCCGAGCTGGAAGCCGACATTGGAGCGACGGCTTCGATGACATCAAATTCCGCTTCTTCGGCCCATCAGAACCAAAGTCGGATAGCGGGCCGGTGCCTTCAGTTGTAGTTCAGTGTGCTTTGCCGGATGAGGGCAGCTGCGGCACAGACTTGTCCTGTTTCAACAACGAAGACATTTGTCAATATATCGATCGCAGCTTTGCTTTCTGGAAGGAGAAGGAGGCGGAGATCTTTGATTTTGAACATTAACCACACTCTAAAACCTGATGCTTTTTTTTTTCACTTAGTGTGTGTCGAGTGTGGTTATTTGACATGGGCTGAAGAGTGACTTGGACAGAACGTAATTTACATTGATCTTAGCGCGAGGGCAGCAGAGTGCTCTAGTGTTTAGCATGTCTGCCTCACAGTCGAGTATCACAAGTTAGAATCTCCACATTCATACAAATGGACACTTTAGAGTATTCAGTGAAGCGAACATGAATAAATAAAACCCTGTTGAAAGTGCACTATGCATTTTCTGTATGTGAATGGATAAACTGTGTCTTTGTTTTCCCGCACCGTTCATTCTGCCTCCCTTCCTTCATGCTTCCTTGCATCCCTCCTTCCATACTCACACAATCCTTGTCGCCCACCTTCCATCCTTCCTCCCTCGCTTTCTTCATTCTTCCTTGCCTCTCTTTTTCCTTCCTTCCTTCCTTCCTTAAAAAGGTCAATTTAAACAACGTATATCTACTTTTGTCCCCCAATGCACATATCTCTCTTGTCCACTTTCCGCTCCAATGCAATAAGGTGAGGATGGAAATAGGTGAGGTCGCGCATGCGCACAAGCGGCGCCGAGCTGCCAGGAGGACGCCGAGCTGCGTACCCGTCATTCGAAGCGAAGAGAGGAGCATCATCTTCATCAGTCTCATCCTGCCCCCATTACCACCACGCTGCTACGAGCCAGCCGAGACAGTTTTTTTCCCTCTGCAATAATCCACCCTTGGAAATAATAACAATAATAAATAAGCGCCATCATGTCAGCCGGTGGAGATTTGGGGAACCCCCTGCGGAAATTTAAACTCGTCTTTTTGGGAGAGCAGAGCGGTGAGTCACACCATCACAGAAGCTTCCCTTGCAACCCACCCTTAGCGGCCAACATGTTTATTATGATGCGAATATCAAAAAAAAAAAAAAAAAGCTGGGGGGGGGGGTTGTTCAATTGCATAAGATGACGTGGTGCCCGTCTTCCTTTTTCTTCTCGTCTATTGTGGGGGAAACGTGTTTAAACGAGACTGAGGAGAGGCACGACCGAATCCAAACAAAATAGGATCAATATCTCTTATCAGTTGTTTTTTTTTCCAACATAAATTGATGGTGTTTAGCCTCTGTTGCGTGGGGCGGTGTTTCGGTGTTTAGACGTGCTGCAGTGGCCCACAAACACAAGCCGACTCTTTCTTTTTTCTTTATTATCTCGCTTCCATTAATCCTTGTATTTGTTGTATACATCTTCAATCCAACCCATAACACGACAGACTCTTCTATTATATCATCGAATGGCGTTGTTTGTGTACGAGTCCCATGCATGTGTCAGTTGGGGACACACCCAAGGCTGCCGATGTCTGCTTCTTTCTGCAGCCTCCGGCTCGTCCCTTCTCATAAAACAAGCGCACAGCCAAAGACGTGACGTTACACAACGTTTTTTTGTGTGTGCGTCTGTGTTCATGTGTTAGAGTTGCAACGATGACTGTTTGTGTCATGCAAACAAATGGCCGGCCTTCCAGAAAATAATACACCCCCCCAACAACACCCCCATAAAAAAAAAATAAAATAAAAATAAAAAAAACCCCACACAAAATAATACGTGCGCGTGTGTGGCCTTGTGCTGCAACATTGCTGTCCGTGGTGCTGAATAGAGGCCCTGCCCAACACCCTGTTCGTGTCTGTTTGCGCAAAAAAAAAAAAAAAAAAAAAGGTCCACCCAGAAGGCAGCATCTCCAGTTTTAAAAATATATTTTAAAATTACATTGTTTATCAGATATAGATATCTGATTGTTACGGGTATTACGCACCGGCTAGTTGAGATGCAAGGGGTATTGGGGGGGGGAAAAATAGGAGTTGTAACGCTCGGATAGAAAAGGTGACTTTTGCCTTTAAGAAAAAGAAAAAAAAAATGATGATAAATAATAATAGAAATAATAAAGTGGTAATTCTGATACCAGGCCCATAGTTGTAATTTGTATTACAATTTCCTATGGTGAGAACAATGTCGTAATATTAAGAAACAAAAGTCCTCATCTTGCTGTTTGTTAAACAAAATGTAAATATCCTTGATTCATTTTTGACTGTTGGTTTAAAAAGTTGTCTTTTACACCTCCTAAATAACGAGCCTTCGGCGAGTCACGTGCACTGTTTAATATCCTTCTGCTATCTTTCAGTGGGAAAAACATCTCTCATCACCAGATTCATGTATGACAGTTTTGACAACACATACCAGGTGAGACGCAAAACTGTCGCGTAAATATAGCGAGTGTGTTATAATTCCCTTCGTTGAAGTCATATTCCAAACGTTGATCTTGTTCGGGATCATATGAGCACACTACAAATGTCATAATGGCGGCTTTAATCCAAATTACAATCTTGTATTTGTATAGAAAATACTGATTATGTTACTAATCTTGGTGTCATTTGTTTTGCTATCAAATGTGGCGAGTGAAGCAATATCGCCGACATAAATGAATATGGATTTATCTTGTCCTTGGCTGCGCGATTAAATCCTGAAGAAGACAATTAAAGTGAAGCAGATTAAGTCGGATTTATGGCTCCGCCTTCTATATATCTTTTGGCATTTGGAATTAATGAAGCTGCAAATGAGCCTTTTTCCTTGTGTGCAACAGGCCACCATCGGGATTGACTTTCTTTCAAAGACCATGTACCTGGAGGACCGAACAGTAAGAAGCATTGGTTGTCTTTTAGAATGACTTGATGGTCAGAAATATTGAGCAGGTTTTACATTTATGAGAGTTTGCATCCGCCGTGTTCGATCAAATTGGGAGGGATCACTCTTTACAAAACCCCAAACCAAGGGATAATTTCTCTTATAAATGTGAAGGACATTACATAATCTGTTGTATGATGACTTTGATCTTAAGAGGTGGTAAAAGGTTCAAATATTGCCCGGTTGTCAGTATCGGGGGATGTCCCACACTCTGGTTTATCATTGACAATATGGTTTTCCAAGGAATTTGTGGAGGAAAAAAATGCTTTTCACTCACCCCACACAGCAAGATGATTGCTCAGGATGATATTTTAGAGATCAAAAATTCAAAAATTTGACCCGATTGTTAGTATGGGTTTTTTTCCGTTCAGGTTTAACTTTTGCGATAGTTGGCTTCAACTGTTTTACAAGGAAATCGTAGAAGAAAAATCGTTCTTTAACACAAACCCACACTAAAGGCCGATTGCTCAGGATAATCTTTTCGAGACATCTGATGAGCAACCCCTTTGCTGACTTTAATCAGAAGAGGTGAAAAATGCTCCAAATTGGCTAGAAAGCCAAAATGTGTATATACTGTTTATTTGACTATCGTTCCGTATCATGTCACAATCACAAAGTTCATATCTTATGATGATCGGTCTTGTCCATTTTTTCAATAGCTCAGGGAGGGAAAATCATTCTTAACAAACCCCACGATGCAGGCTAGTCACTTAGGATCATCTTTGAGAAACATCTGACAGTCGAGATTGTGTTGATCGGAAGGTGTGGATCACCATTTTCATTTGGCATCACAATCATGGAGTCTGGCTTTGCCCAACTTTTAAAATGCCCACATCTGGCCCAATTGGTATGGAGGTACACCATTTTCATTTGACATCACAATCATGGAGTCTGGCTTTGCCCAACTTTTTAATAGTGATCAAGTTAAAGATTTTACAATAATCAGCATAGGCTATTTTCCGAGGAGATTGCGGAGGAAATAAAAAGCACTCTTGACACACCCCACACCACAGGATAATCACTCAGGATAATCTGATAATCTTCAGTGACTTGTGTGTGCCTCACGTTTGCAACTTTTACGATTATATGACCCCAGTTAGCCACAGTCTATGCATCCCAAACAACTGAATAATAGCTCAGAATAAACTCCTAAACATTTGAAAATTCGGCCTTAACTGATGAAAATGCTCAAATTTGGTCCGATGATCCATGTTTCTATATCCTGCTTCAGCAAATGTATAGGCTACCTGACCCCAGATTGTCACAGTGCATCCACCTCTCTGCATCGGATAAATGACACAGGATAATCTCTCAGAGACATTTGATAATCTGCTTTTTGATTATTTTGTTTGGAAGGGAGGAAAAAATCTTCAAATTTCATCCCGATTTTTGGTATGTGTGTACCCCGCTTTAAAATTGTTCCTTGCTGCATATAGAGTGTCATTTCAGCTCAGTCGGAAGAAAAAAAATCCTGTTTGACTAATCCATGATGGGATTTCATTTCTGCCTAACACGATTAGCCAAAGGTTATTTCTGATGGTAATAGCATCAGTGTGCTAAAACGTCTTGACTGATTCTTCTTTTTTTTTCTTTTTAATTGGGAAGGATGCACTATAGTTGAAAAGTGGTTCATATCGTATACTGTCTATATGTATAGGTGAGGCTGCAGCTGTGGGACACAGCTGGACAGGAGCGTTTCCGGAGCCTGATCCCGAGCTACATACGGGATTCCACAGTGGCCGTGGTGGTCTACGATATCACAAGTGAGCAGCTCACGTGTTTGTTGTCCGTCTGCTTAAATGGGGCACCCTCGCTGTTTGTGCTTCCCATCCAAAACTGTTTATGATTACCTGTATTAATAGTTTAAAAACGAAATATGGAACAAACTATAACCACGAAACACAAATGTACCTCTCATTAGCTTTCAATGTTAGCTTCAAAATTGGCATCGCAATTTTTCAACAATGCCGCCATTGTTAACTTTTGAAGTCATCTTCCAACGTTAGCTCCACATTATTCCCCATGTTTGTTTCAAAAGTTATGTTGAATAGTAGCTTTCACGTTACTTTCTGAATTCAACCTTCAACATTAATTAGCCTCTAACATTACCTATTAACTTCAAAACCTAGCCTTGACATTAGCTCCTAAATGTTAGCCAAGGATGACAATGTTAGCTTCCCTAACGTAAGCTACAGATAGATGTTGGTCTCCAAATTGATCTTAAATATTCAACATTAGCTATTGAAATTAGCTCCAAGGTTATCTTCTGAATTTAGCTTCCAACAGTATTTCTAAGTAGCTCCAATGTCAACTTTTAAAGGTAGCTTCAATATTAATAGCTTCAATATTAACTTCCAATTTAATTTTTTTACGTAAGATTTCAGTGATTGTTTCTGACGTGTAATTCCAATGTTAACGTTAATGTTACCTCTAATTTTAGCTTCCAATGCTAGTTTCAAGATTTTCTCTAACGTAAGCTTCCTGTGATAGCTTCCATTGTTTGTTTAAAACATTACCGCAAATCCTAGTGTCAAACTATGATTTATTTCTTGCTAATGTGTTTGGCATTTGGCTATTAACACATCTTGATAGGTGTTCTTTTAGAAAAGGTTTTTTTGGTCAAATTTTAGCGTTTTGCCAAAGATGATAGTTTTCATTTTGATTAAGTATAATGACATAATTATCCAAAACTAAGGTACTGTCATTTTCAGTCAACTGGGTTGGATCCCTGTCAGTATTATCGAGTTTAAAAATAAACAAACTGGAATTTTAAAAAGTTCAGTGCAATAATGGTCCAAGTCCAAAACTGGAATAAGCCCGCGATAGTTGTCATTGTCTCCCTTTAATTGACTAAATAAAATGATGTATGCATGTGACATATTCCTCCCCAGATGTCAACTCGTTCCAGCAGACCTGCAAGTGGATTGATGACGTCAGGACCGAGAGAGGAAGTGACGTCATCATCATGCTGGTGGGCAACAAAACGGATCTGGAAGAGAAGAGGTGAGGCGGCAGCGTAACATTGCTCATCAGGAGGTCGATGCTGATCAAAATGGCCACCCCCACCCTGACCCCCCTTCAGGCAAATCACCATTGAGGAGGGAGAGCAGAGAGCCAAAGAGCTGAACGTCATGTTCATTGAGACCAGCGCCAAGACGGGCTGCAATGTCAAACAGGTGACACGTTCTCCTCAGACACATCAAGGACACTACAGTCGATGAATATCTGGTCTTCTTCTACTGTAACATTTCCCAAAATTTATTGAGCCAAGGCATATATTTTAAAAATGTCACGGCACAGCCCCAAGCAAGAATGTCACAAATATCAGTCCTGTATAAATAACCTGAAAGCCATATTTGAGTAATATGATCGAAACAGAAAATAACTAAATAACTATGAAGGTAAAGTGACCTTGTAGAATATTACGTGTCTTAAAGTATCTAACATTTACTGCACTTAAAAGGTGGGGTTTGCAGTTTTTAACCTCACTTCACAAATCAGCCCTCCCCAACAAAATAACTGCGCTAGCAACATAAAGCTAGCATTAGCAATGTAAACAAGCCAACTTCAGCCACGCTTTCTGAGTTGGCAACGTGACTTATTCGGAATAGTCTTACTATAACACTAAATTTATCAGTTTGACGTTTTATTGTTTTGAATGTACAATCAAGTAGAAGTCAAAAAGAGGTGATAAATGTAGCTGTTGAGCTGAAATATTGTTCATTCCTCATGGCTTTTGATATCCCTTTCCTCGGCATCTGTTTGCTAGCCTTGCTCAGTTGTAAGCAATATGTGAAAATTCTACTTCACTCCAGTCACAAAGTATTTGCTTTCCAGACTCACAACACGCATCATGTACAAAACACTGCCTTGTATTCAGCAATAGAAATCTGAATCGAATATGAAAATGATTTTTCTCTCTGCCTTCTTCAAGCTGTTTCGTCGTGTTGCAGCAGCTCTTCCCGGGATGGAGAGCCTTGACGATGCCAATCATGAAGGCAGTATCCTTAACGAACACGGGCACTGAGTCACTGTTGAGTAGGCAAACATATTGGCTGCCTTCATTTTGAATCTCTGTCAAATGGTTTGCTGACATCACTGCACAGGAAGCTCAGTCTCGTTCACTTTATCAGGAACATGACCTCACACACTACCATCTAGTGGACATTTGACAAACAGCACACAGGATATTGCCCTGCACTACGCCACACAATAAATCCTATGCTTTACCATACTACAGTATGTATGTATAGTCATACCATACTATAATACTACAGAAGAATATACTACACTATAAGTTTTTACAATGCAGAGGGAGGAGACTTGTCTCATGTTTGGCAGAAGGTCATTCCAAAGGGGAGACCGGCTTAGTCCTTGGTACCTCCAGTAGCCGTCTGGTCCACGGACCTGAGGCACCATTAAGGTATGTAGAGGTGGAGGAGCTCAAAGAGGTAAGGTGGGACGACACCATTTAAAGATTTGGAGACAAATAAAATCATCTTAAAATTAGTTCTCAAATGTACAAGGGAACCAATGAATGGTGGCCAGAATTGGTGTTATCTGCTCCTTCTGAGTAGCTCTAGTTAGGAGGCGAGCAGCAGCATTTTGGACCAACTGGAGATGCTTGAGGGAGGACTGTCTGACTCCAAAATAAAATGCATTACAGTAATCTAGGCAAAATGTAATTTAGAAATGGATTACTGTTTCTAAGGGCTGTTGAGAAAGGAGAGGCTTTACCCTAGCCAGCTGCCTCAGATGAAAAAGCTGGTTTTAACAACAGCACCAATATGAGAGTCCAATTGAAAAATCACTCCTTTTTCTTCAGCAAGACATCGATCTGAATATCATCCGCATACCAATGAAAGGAAATACTGTACCATGCTTTAGATGTAACCCAGGGGCAGCAAACACATTGAAAACAGCAGGGGCCCAAAAACGGAACCCTGTGGAACTCCCACCACTATGACGACACTGTACCATACCATACCATAAATTATACTTCACTGCACTGTACTGTGCTCGATTCTATATGTAATATATTTATCGTATTGTGTTGCTTTGTATTTTTCCTTAAGCGGCACTTTCCCAGTGATTGACATTAAGCTGGACAAACCGGCGGAGCCGAGCGTTCCCGAGGCCGGGTGCTCATGTTAATGCCGAGCTGTGATTGGCCACAGCTCCCTTCACGCCATTGGCTTGTTGTGTTGCTTTAACAACTTCCTGGTTAGCCTACAGTTGACTCTAACTCCAATTGGATGTACTCTAGGATGTATCTGATTGGACACATCAAACGTTCTCTCGCAATCAGTTGTTCAGTTGTAAAATATTGTATACTTTGTCAATATGTAAGTGACCAGAGGACGAAAAAGAGAAAATGAAAAGGAACACGAAAACGTTTTCGGAGGGGGGAAAAGAATAACTGCAAAGGGAGACCAGTTTCTTTTCGCTGTTATGTTTTGTATTTTTTATATTAAACAGGGAACGCAACAAAATTGATGCCTAAGCATCAAAGGAGAGTTTTAGGCGAGAGGCTAGTTAGTGGAGTGTTGGTTGGCCATTTTCCACCCTTGAAATGGCGGAACACGTCTGAATGTCTGCAGCACGCATGCATGCTGATCCGATTTATTATTGTTTTGGGTTTTTTTAACCGGCCTGACTGCTCTCAGAATGTTTTCTAGCATCTCTCTGTCTTTCTCTCTATAGCATCGTCACATCTCACACAACTTCCTGTAGGTTCACATAACGGTAGCTGTGAAAAACGTGGCACTCTCTATCTCTCGTTGGGTTCAACTTTTATAGAAATTGTACTGTGCATTAAAAAAGATGAATAATATGAATAATAATAATGTACAAAGAAGACAACCGCCTCTCCTACCCTGCGCTACCCTCTGAAATCCTAATCCTTCCTGTCCACATGTTTAACGATCCACGGTAATGCACTGCACTGTATATAATAATGTAATATGTATGTTGTGAACGTCCTCTCTGTCCAAGTGGTCCTTGTTCACCAGTATGAATACTGTGATAATGTTTCATGATTAATAAATGACCGATTAAAGGGCTTCACTCTCCTAACTCGCAACACTTACATGGTGCCAAACGTGATTTCCTGGGATCAAATGCACATTTTGCATCACGCATAGCAGGGGCCTGGACATCCTTCGTATGTGGATAGTCATTAAATTTAGGAAATGAGCCAAATGAACGATGGGCTGACTGAAAAGCTTAATTAAATTGATTTTATTGTATTTTATCCCACTTCTGCTCACGGGGGAGTTGGAGCCTCATCCGAAAATCTTCTTGAATTTTAATTGATTCCTTTACATATTTCATGTAAGCTTTAATGTAATTTAAATTCAATCTGTTTTTGAAAAGCCTTATTCATTTCAGGGACATGAGGTAGAGCCTTATTTTAATTGAGTCTATTTAATATTTTGTGATTTCATTTTTTAATTTTATTTAAATATATTCCAGTTCCTTTTGTTTTTAAATGATCAAATATTTTATGTGCTTTTAATTTGTGGAGCCTTGTCTGCAAGGCTTATTTTACTTTATTTTCATTAATTCCACTTTTTGTTTGCACTTATTTTATTCCATTTATTGTCTTGTATGTATATTGTATGAAATTATTTTTTATATCTTATTTTATTTTCTGGCACATTGTACGCAAGGCGTATTTTATTTTCTAAACATTTATACCATTTAATGTTTTATTTCATGCAGCCTTTTCTGCAAGGCCTATTTTATTTGAATGTTTTCCATTTATTGTTTTGTTCTATTATCAAACAATAAAATATTCATGCGAAATGGTCTTGCTGAAGCGTTCTTTCTGGTTTGGTGCTGACAAGACAAGTTGAACTGGAAAGAACCTTTTTCCGGTCGACTAAACGGACGCCACGATTGCTTTCCTACTCTGAGGTATTCCCCTGGCTGGATGTCATGTTACTCGATCCCCCCCACGGGTCTCTGGGCAGGCAGGCAGTTACATTTGTGGTTGATTCATTTGAAGGAATTTGGGCGTCCCTCAGGGTACTCTAGTCTACCCCATAAGACTTCTTTTTTGATTCCAAGATGAATATTTGTACCTATTCCAAGTTTGGAAGTACAGTATGTACGTTCGAGATGAAACGGTTGGGAAATGTCCCATCTTTAAATTAGCCACGCCTTAACGGTTCCACTCCGAGTAGCTGCGAACCACTATAGGTATGTTCCCAAGTAAAAAGATGACGATGGTCAAAATGCCAATCGTCCTATTTGACGGAGGTGTCAAATTCAGGTCCAGAAACGAAACCTTGCCAGTTTGTCTTTCACCACAGGTGCTTCTACTCAACAGCTCGTTTACATTCAGGTTGAGTTGACGATTCTGTGGCGAAAGACAAAGACAAACTGCGGCACGGTTTATTTTCTGGAACTGGATTTGACACCTCTGTCAAACAGGAGGATTTGCATTTTGGTCCATCAATGATTTTGACCACTAAATATGCAAATGATCCTTTTTTTATTCTTGGAAGGCCACACCCCATCCATGTAAAAGGGCACTCCAGTTAGTTTGCGATCCACCTCCAGTACATTGTTTGAGGCTCAACAGCTGCATCATGTCACGAGTGGAGGCCCTGGCAGACCCGCGACTTGGCTCGCTCTTGAAGGGTCTTCGTACGGATATCGCCATGGCAGTGCACGACGCCTTCCCTCTGGTTCACGGCTTGGCCGACAAGAACGTCATCAGTGAGCAGATGCTGAAGGTGAGCCCACTTCGCCGTCAGCAGCATGCTGCTTTTCTGATTTTGACAAGTCGATGCGAAGTACAGAGGAGGAAGTTTTGTAAATATTCAAAGTTGTCTGTACGATTACAGCCAAAATGGTCATCGCAATTATTTTGATCAGTGTCGTGATCAGGATTTAGGAATCACAATTCGTTATGTTTGGGAAAACATCTGTATTTTTACTGCACTGCTCTTCAACAAAAAATATGGAAACAGTTTTCAGTGCAAAATGAAACTTCCAAAACTCAGAAATGTTAAATCCTGAAAAAAGATGTTGAGTATTGAGAATGTTTTTTTTATTATTGTTTTATTAAATTGTGTTTTTTATTTTTGTTTACAATCCCCAGGAATTCTTCAAAAACTGTTCAATATACATTTTCCATGAGAAACAGGGAAAATCGTGGGCGGGGGGAGGGGGGGTATCCTAGTAAAACTTATAAAAAAAAATATTGAAAAAAAGAAAAATATATATCAGCGCTTGCTTGTTCGTTCAGCAGCTTAATGAAGCTGAACCGTGCCATCGCCCCCTGGCGGTAGGCTGACTCCTGGTAAATAACGTGCTTTATTCGATATGCTGGAGATCCCGCAATACTGTATAAATACCTCAGACGATCACGTTTATTTAATCCTAGCAGACAAAATCAAACGGACCGTTTTAAATTACGACCACAATTCGTATTTTCCCGTCTTTTGAAAGCAACACGTTGTGTTTGTGGTTGCCACATATGCCTTGCAGTCAATAGATCCAAGCTGGAGTCCCCATCTCAACCAACATCTGTGCGGGTCATTTGGTAGTTAACGTGACATTTCATGACACCCTTCCACCAAAATTCGCACTTCAGTTCCCAAGGTGAATTTGGGGACTTTCTTTTGTGTCTGCATGTGCGTGTGTGGTTAAGGACACGGTGGCGCAGGAGGCCCGAGACGGGATCCACAAGGCCATATACTCGCTGATCTCGTGGGTAATGGAACAGAGTGCCTCCACCATGCAAGCCTTCTGGAGGAACCTGAACAAGACCTACAACCTGGACAGTTACCCCAAACTGCGAGCACTACTCGCTCCCCACATTGCCTGTACGTGAAGCTCACGCCCCACACAAAGCGACAACAACTTTGAGGTTTTCGCCATCATTTATCATTTCATTGATTCTTGCGTCCGATTTTGTATGATGAATTGCCGCATAATTCCAACGCAGCAAGCCGCGTCGCGTCTCCCCAAGGCAAGAAGAATCGCGGCAAAAAGAGGAGCCACAAGGACAGGGAAGATCAATATCGCACCACGACTTGCGACGGGACTGCAGGTAGGACGGCATTACCTCCCCCAAGGAACATTTCATTGTTTTATTGCTTAGTCATGGAGCTACACAAAACAATACAATAAAATACATCTTTATTTATATAGCACTTTATTTACAGCGGCGGCTGTAACAAAGCGCTTTACAGAAGAGTTAAGATAAAAAAAAAATACGGTAATATAACACAACACATAAGACATGGACAGTCATGCAATTGTAATTCTATTCCTGCATACGCCTTGTTGTTTGAAGCAGTTATAGATGAAAGAGGAAAGAATCGAAATGTCCTCTCACCAGTCACACGAAAAAGAAGCTGAAAACTTATTTGTTTTTTTGTTGTTTTTTTTTGGCAAAGGAATCAATTTAAATGCCGAAACTAAAATTTTGATCAGTAGATATGAAATTGTCAGTAAAATTTGACTCCTTCTTGTCCCACAAGGGGAAATTCAACAGTATTATATTTATTCATAAAAAAAAATATATATATATAAATTTAGTAGTCCGCTTCCCCAGAATGCAATGTTTAATTAATTATATCGTAATTGCTTTTATTGGATATTGTAAGTGCTATTATGTCATTAAAAAAAGAACGAAAATAATTGTGTAAGTCTTACAGTACAATTATCAGCAGCCCAAACAAAACAAATGTCCTCATTTTAGTTAATCATGCATAAAATTCGGAAAAAAAAATTAATACACAATTAATCATTTCCCCTAATGTTTAAATCAAGTAAACTATTGACAAAATCTTTTTTTCCCCCCCCTCAGCGGGTAAATTCAAGTTATGCAAAGTGAAGAGTGAAGCTCCTCCCCAGCAAGCCGCGTGTGGCACAAGTAATTTCCACTTCACACTTTACAAGAACGTCCATTTCCAAATCCAAGTGGATCTTTAAAGCTAACGCTTGTGCTTCAGTGTCGGTCCCCACAGAAGGACGACTTCCCTCATCGTCATCTGCTCGCGCCGCCACTGAGCTGTCAGTCAAAAGTGGATCTTCCAGAGATGAGGTTTTCCACTCAGATGGCAAGTCCGCATGTTGGCAACATACTAAAACCCTCAAAGACCAAGTTCCCTGGTGTCTTTTTTTGACATATCTGCATCATGCCTTAAAATACTGCAAGGATCAAGAATTACTCTTGATACTCTCTTTCTTGTCTTGCTGAAATTAGCCTTTTTTTGAGCCAATAGCAAGCATGGATTTTGTTACCACCCAAAGTGCACCCCAAATTTTATAAAGCAAATGATAGCATGGCTTGTGTTTTCCCTTGTGGAGGCAGCACTTCATTTCCAAAATGCCCCCTGATGTACACCTTGTCAAAAATTTCTCAAAAAAGAGGCGTCACGGGCTCAAAGCTTGATTTGTCTTTCATTACACTGGTCCAAAGCTAATTTAAATCAGAGATGTCTGAGATTTTTTTAAGCAGATTTAAAAATGTCTTTTTTTTTTCGAGCACCAGGTTGTTGTGATACTGTATTTCATTTTTTTTAATCTTGCACAATACGGATTATATCATGCGTTGTAATTTACTGCTGTGACGTTTCACAAAAATAAATCCTGTTCTTTGCAAGAGAAAAAAAAACAAGAGCAGATCAGAATCCGTGTAAAAAAAAATCTAGAAACGTTTTTTGCATCTCTGATTAAAAACAATGAAAAAAAGAATTTTAATCGTTGACCAGTGTTATGCATTTAATTATGAAGCAGATTTAAAAATGTCTTTTTTTTTTCGAGCACCAGGTTGTTGTGATACTGTATTTCATTTTTTTTAATCTTGCACAATACGGATTATATCATGCGTTGTAATTTACTGCTGTGACGTTTCACAAAAATAAATCCTGTTCTTTGCAAGAGAAAAAAAAACGAGCCGGTCAGAATCAGTGCAAAAAAAAATCTAGAAAAGTTTTTTGCATCTCTGATTAAAAACAATGATTTTTTTTTTTTAATCGTTGACCAGTGTTATGCATTTAATTATGTCCTGAGAATATTTTTTTAACAAAAGTACAGTGTTATAGAATTTGTTTTCTATCAAAAAATATACCTGCCTGGACCCTCCACTCACATCCATCCCCAGGTTCAAGCTTACGCCTGCAAGAATAACAAAGGAAACACGAGACGCTCGGGCGTTGCAACCGAGCAAGCCGCTACTCAGCGTTGCCAACTTTGAGAAATTTCTAACCCCGTTAGCTATTATTTTTAATATATATATATATATATATATTTAGTGACTTTTGTGGTGTTATTTAAGAGTCTGGAATACCCTTAGATGACCTCATAACGGGATGCTCTCCCCTTTGGGTCCAGACTGGAAATGAATGGCGCAAAGCCGCGACTGGCTAATTTGACCAAACAACAACAAAAGAACAGTAGCGACAATTTTAGTGACTTTTGTGGTGCGACTTGAGACTTTTGGAAATTTGGCTTTCCCTCCAGGGGATTAAATGTTCACTCCTCTGCATCCAGACTGCAAATGAATAGCACAATGCCACCACTGGCGAATTTAACCACAGTGACCCAAAAAAAAACGAGCAACAAATTAAGCAACCTTTTGTGGTATTATTGGAGACTTGCAGCATCTTGAAACTTTCTCTAGAGCAGATTTCATCTCGACGTCCAGAATTGCAAATGAATGGTGCAATGCCACCACTGGCGAATTGAACCACAGTGACTATTATCGAAAAATCAGCAAGCAACAAATTGACTGACTTATGTGGTGTTGTTGGAGACGTTGTAAATGTTGTGAGACTCCCACCAGAGCAGCAAATGGCTCACCCTTCCGCGTCCGGACTGCAAATGTATCGTCACCACTGGCTAATGTAACCATATACGTTTGCATAATCGATAAATCCTGATAATAACACACTTTTGTATCTGCAGTGGATCTTGGCGTTGTAAGGAATGCGGTGGCAGAGAGGTCAAGGTACAAAAAAGCCAGCAAGCTTTGCAAGTAAGTAAATGACACTAACACGTGAGCACTTAAAATGATTGGGATTCCTCTTGAATCCTCTTCAGCGCTCGATAGCGAGTTGGCGCCGATCCGAGCTAACTTGGAGCAAAACAATCAGGGTACATTTTAGATTGTCAAGTCTTCTTGTGTTTTTTTGTTGTTTTTTTTGTTTTTTTATGGGTTCAACCTGAAATTTAAGGTTATATTACATTATGAAGAAGATATAAATAGGATGATTCAATGAAAAATTCATGACTGAACTAAATATTGGCAAATTAACGAGTTACTAGTGCCGAGTATTCTTGCTCTTTTGCCAGTCTGCCTTTCTTGAGTCTTTTTTTTTCTTCACCCTTGTAGCTAACCACCAACTCATCGTGCTGCTTAATAGATTTAATGAATTACATATGCGCAAAGTATGAAAGTATTCCAATTACAATAACAATAAAAAGTAGTGTGGCCCTCCTTCCACAGCCTCCGCAGACAAACTCTAAGACCTCCACCGTCGACATGTCATTGTTCCCCTTGCTGTCCTCCACCACAGCCTCAGCAAAGGAGGTAAACACGCCCCCAACTGTCCTTATAGTGCACACGGCACATCGTTGCCGGCTGAAATGTTTGAAATGTATCAAATGTAGAGCCCAGACGCGTGTGGTATTTGTCACCTGGGAGGAGGAGACCTCGCTCGCTGCCTTCAGTGTTCCAAGTGTTACCACCGCCACTGCCACTTCCACATGTAAGTCCTAACATCGATACAGTGGTACCTCGACTCACGTACGTCTCTTCATACGAGATTTTCAAGTTTCGAAACGCCTCAACAGGAAACTATTGTCTCTAGTTACAAAAGAAATTTCAAGATACGAAAGGTAAAAATACAGTATTGGCTGCGACTCGCAGCTTCGAGTTTCCTGAACACAACATACTTAGAGCTGCTCTGCCATTGGCTATTACCGAGCATCATCCTGGCATCCCATTGGCTAAGAATGTGTTTATGTGTGTAGATAGATTATCGTCATCGTCATTCGCCCCTCGGGCCATGAGGTGTTCCGATAATTTTACGTAAATGTGAATCACCCAGAAAAAGGGTTCACCAGTTGGGCGATAGCTCACTATGCTCACGTTTGCCTTGGATATTTTCAAAGGATTGTTAAAAGGCGACAAAAGCAAACGTCCTTGGATCAGTTCTTTACAAAACACCAGGCAAAAACCTCTTCTGAGAGAGAACATGAACTAAAGAGGGCAAAAAATGACGAGGACGCAGTTAAAAGTTAAATGACCATCATTTTTCTTTTTTACTCAATTCTTTGTTTTTTACATAATACACAACTCTCATTTATTGTGAAATAATCTCATTTTAACATGTGCTAGTGACATATTTTGATGCATTTTTATGCTTTAGAAAACATTTATGTCTGAATTTGGGGGGGGCTTGGAACTGATTAGGCCATTTACATGGAAAACGTGTCTCTACTTACAAAATTTTCGAGTTAAGAAATGTCTTCCAGAACCAATTAATTTCGTAAGTAGCGGTACCACTATATTTCATGAAAGAGTACGGATGCATGGATACAGTCACGTCGTCCCTCAAAAATCAAATCAAATAAAACCACAAAATGACACTGTCAATCAAAAATCTAATGCCCTTCATTTTAGAAACATTTGTTTCAAACTTGTGGCACAATGATCAAACGCCCGAAAAAAAGCAACTGTGACACGAATTTGAAATGCCACCTTCTGTGTTTTGTTAGCGGGCGATCCACCTGTCTGTCGTGCTCCAAGGCGTTGGTCAGCACTGCAGAAAAGGAGGCCGATACCAAATGTTTACAGGTGGGTCTGTACTTTCACTTACTCGATAGCGCCCCCCTGGAAAGTGGGAACGCACCAGCTTCACAAATCAACACTAAAATGGGCGGACACGTCGAACGTACGTACATGTAACAGAATGTACGAAAAGTACCCATGCATGGTTTTCAACACAAAGTCGGCCATTTTGGTTTAAAGCAATAATTTTGCTCTCAATTGCACCCCTGGAAAGTTTGATCAAATGAAACACCAGTTTGTTTTATGAACATGAAATTGGTAAGGCATGTCTATCCTAACAGGGCATAGAAAAAGTCTCATATCTGTAAGTGAAGGGGAAGTCAGCCATTTTGGGTTGGAAGCACCAATTTTGGGCAAATTAAATTGCTGTGTTCCTACTGGGAAATTCTCCCAAATGAGTGGCACAAAATCCCTCATTTTTAGCCTGCACCATTTTATGATCATTCCAAGTCTTGTCCTTGAGCAAGGGGGTTCAAGGGCCCACCCCCAGTCTTAATACGACGCTGTTTTTCAGCTCGCCACAGCGGCGCATAACCCACACGGCCACGAACAGAGCTCATCGGTTCAGAAAGACGAATTGGACTCCATCCTGGGAGACGTGAGTGGTGCTCAGTTACACACGTGATGTAATATGTTTAGTATGTATCGTTGGGGTGGTGGGCCTGCATAAATTAGAGTCAGATGTGTTGGGTAGCGTTGCGTCATTGCATTTCATTGAGTTTGGCACTTTTTAGAATTCTTGTTTCACTGTAACGGTTCTCTTAGGAATACGCCTTCATGATTAAACTTAGTTTTAACTTTGCGATCATTCAAATAGGTCCGATTCAATTACAAGTCAGCGTAATCCAATTGGTGTCGACTTTGCTTTGACCCAAAACAATCCAAATCAAACCTGATGTGCACTGACATGATGAATGTATCAACAAACTCAAGAGGATCGGTGAAGCCATTGTGTGCGTGTTCATTAGATGACGTGTGTGTGTGTGTGTGTGTGTGTGTCAGCAGACCTCCTTGGATGGCATCCTGCAATGGGCTTTTCATAACATCTCTCAACCTCTTCTTAACACTCACGGGTGCTACCAGTGACTTGGAATCCATTTCTTTTCAACTACTCTTACTAGTACTACGACTACTATTGAAAACGATGAAGTCACTTTGCAAAATATCAGCTGTTTTTTGATGATAGCTCATGAATGCTGCAATAGATGGAATGTAAGTCTCTTTGCGCATTTTCTCAACTCAACTCAGCTGTATTTATCGAGCACTTTCCACCA